GAGATGTTAGAAAACTACAGTAAAGCTGAGCTGAGCTGGTGATTGGATTTAGGAAGTTTCATACCTTCGGACTGAACTTACAAAATGTTCCTATCTATTTTTAATCAGCATGATTTTTCATTTTTAAATCATTCTCAAATTCTTCTTTTTTTCCATTTCTCATTACCTTGTCTTTCATTTTGCTTAAGTCTAATTGTCATGGTATTATGTACTTTTCATTCCATATACCTGTTCTCTTTTCTCATGTTCTTCATGTTACTTTTCTTCTTAATTTCTAGATCCTTTCCTTCATCTTCCCATGGACCTACTTCCCAACTGTGCACCATATTCTTCTTCTTCCATTTTTAACAAACCTCGTTATTATCGTACTATACTGGGGTGTATTTTGAGGCACATTTTGATTACACCACTATTGTTTCTTATTAACCCCATGTTGATTGTCTTGCTATCTGACCTTGCTTTGCTCATGTTTTACTACATAGTAGCATGACATGAAACACCAGGTATGACATTGAAAGATGATGAGCTTTCACATTTACTATATTTCTTTGAGAGAGTAAAACTGTGTCCATACTTTTAAGAGAGAATTTTGCAATTTCTATGATACAGTGAGCCTGCTTTAGAAGTTTAGTGAAGACTTTTGTATATATAAAGATCACTTTTGTATAAAGATCACTTGTCTATTAATAACACATTTCTATGTTTCCCTTGACAATTGTTTCTCATTTAAACCTGTACTAAAATAACCCTGTTCACAAACACCACCTGCCTATAAAGCAGGGCTGAGCTTGGACCTCCTGAAGCTTCTTTAGAACAGAAGGTCCCAGGTTCAAGTCCCACACATTTTCACAGGCAGTGTGAAATCAGTACTGTGTGGTATGAAATGTTACAGGTTGCAGATAGAGAAGGAATGACAAAAGAGAGAGAGAGAGAGAGAGAGAGAGAGAGAGAAGAGGAGTCGAAGAGGGTGGGAGGGATTGATCAAACCCCTCTACCCCCTCCATGATAGTGGATGGAGGGAGTTTTACTTCGTGAGGTTGGACGTACGTCTTTGCTAATAACAGTTCAAGTAAAAATGTGGTAGAGGGGCTGGCAATTATTATTAATATTATTTTAAATCTACTTATATATCCATGGCATAAGACGTCTGATATCCTGCCAAAGACATAAAGATGGCATCCTGTGGTATTGATATTAATCACATTACAGACCAACATGCTGAGCACATTTTCAAACATTTCAGTGACCCTAAAAAAGTGGTTCAGGCGGAAGTGAAATTAGAACATGAATTAAGAATGTTAAGGTGCATCCCATTTAGCCCTAACAAACTCAGGCTTGAAAATTCTGAGTCTGACTGGTGAACATGATAGCTGTAATCTAGATGCATCATGCAGGGTGCGGCACCAAAATCAAATCCTACATGAAGTCAAACAGTTTCAGATTTTGAAAAACAGTTCCTGATATTAAACCACAACAAATTTATACTGCCTGTGTCAAAAGTGGTTAGCACCATATGGATGTGTTCACCTTGTGGTTTTGTTTACACTGAGCTATAAAGCATTTGGTACTTTTAAAGACACACCCTAACTCTGTTTCCAAGTGTATTGTATCATAATTCATATTCACACAGACATTATGGAATTAGCAATTAATATGTGAACAAATCTTGCACTCAGCAACTGAAAAAATTGGTGTCTCATGGAAATTTTGGACATTTTTCTGTCATCTTTTAGATTTGGACTTTATGATCATGGTGGCTTTACCTCGATCATGAGTACAACTTCATAAAAATGAATAGTGGGTGTAGCATGATGTAAAGCCTGTTGGTCACAAAAAGTGAAGTCCATTCTCTGTGATTGCAGTATAAATGCAGCTATTGCGTCTTAAATAATTATCTGCTAAGTGCTGGTATTTTCTATGTATGATTCCTGCCAGTTTTGGGGAGTTTGTTTGCATTATCTATTTCACATGATCTCCCAGGTCGAAATTCCATTAGGATCCGATCCTATTGGACCATCAGAAACCATTAGAGCTATTGGTGTCTAATGGTTTCAATAGGGAAAGTGAAATGATGGACCCACAGAAACCATTAGAAAATATCTATTGGACCAACACAAACCCACAGAAAGAAATGCTGATGGACCAACAGAAAGCTTCTATTGGACCAGCATCCACCCATGTCTTCTTTCTGTTGGTCCATTAGATATTTTCTTCTATGATGGGTTTCTGTTGGTCCATTAGATATTTTCTATGGGTTCCTGTTGGTCCATTAGAGATCTTTCTATGGGTTTCTAATGGTCCCATATTCTGGATTCCCTATTGAAACCAATAGTCCAATGGCTTCTATTGGTAATTCAATAATGATAAATCAAAATCGATTTTAGCAACTGTCCACCAAAAAAAGTATATTCTAATCTCAATTGCATTAACTTCATCACAAAGATCACTTGAAGTGAGTTTAAGAATATCCTTTATTTTAACTGAAGGCTTGTACTATTCCTATATAATAAACATACATGGATTATTTCTTGGTTAGTAATCATTATAATCAATATATATCTATTGCTAAAACGTGAATGAAATTGTAATATGATTAAACAAATAATCTATTGGTCATTAGTTGCCGAAAAAAGATATAATTCACAAAATTGATGTACATTGTCATAAGTTGCTGAACAAATTATGATAAATGTAATTTTCTGTGAACACGTATAAAGTAATCATGAATATGCATGAGATAGATTTAGCTGTTGGTTTCTATTGGTTTCTATTGGACCTATTGGTTTCTATTGGTCCCATTGGGTTCTATTGGTCTCATTGGTTTTCTATTGGTCCTATCGGTTCTATTGGTTTCTATTGGTCTTATTGGTTTCTATTGGTCCTATTGGTTTCTATTGGTCCTATTGGTCATATTGGTTTCTATTGGTCTTATTGGTTTCTATTGGTCCTATTGGTTTCTATTGGTCCTATTGGTTTCTATTTCTATTTGTTTCTATGGGTGATATTGGTTTATATTGGTTTCTGATGGTTTGAATGGTCTCTATTGGATTCAATTCTATGGGTCCAACAGAAACCAATAGACTCCATCAGAAACCATTAGAGACCAATAGAATTTTTCTAATGGTCTCTATTGGTCTCTATGGGATTTTCGACCTGGGCTACAAGTCAGAATAACATTTTGCTCATAGTACATACTCCCTTTAAAGTATGCAAAGTCTTGAAGGTGATTCACCCCCACAGCTCCCACCTCCCCATATTATATCCTATGAAGTATGTATATAATAATTTCAACGAAAGCAATGTCTCATCTTCACATCTTTGTTAGCCATCTTAGGGTACATTTTTAAAGCAAGTTTTGACACTTTGTTTTTAATATAACATTACTGCAACTTACTTATCAATTCACAATGATTTTTAATACTTTTTCTTGTATTGAAGCTTTGATTTGATCTCAGCGAGTTCTACAGATTGGTTTCAAAGATCCAACCAAAGAGACAGAGAAGAAGAGAGTACGTGCGCCAGCTGTAGAAATACCTGATTGTTTATAGGACTTATTGAAGACCTTCGCATCCTATTAACTGTTCACACGTCACAGCCTAGCATCTGTGATCTGATGTGACATATCTTATACCAATCTCAATAGGAATGGTCTATTTAGTCTGCTAGAAATCGAGGTCGGTCTTCACTATCCTGAACTTTAAAAATATGTTCGTATCTTTGTATATATACCATACTGATAACCTGTGCCACATTGTATTTATCATGAGTATAGAAGTACCAAAGGCTTCAAGATTATTTATGAGGTTCGAATTCACTGTTAATCAATGCCAGTGTTCAAAGTGTTGTCATGGAGGTATAATCAAGACTGAAAATGTGTAATGTTGCAAATCCATTGTTTTACACTCAATAATCCTTCCTTCAAGTGGTGCCTACTGTTTTGTGCAAAATTGCATGTTTAGTAATTAAGTGACCATGCAGATTGCAGAGAGGCAGAATTAGGCACTTGAAATAATTAGGTGAGGTGCATCATGTTTCTGTCACAACATAACTAATTCTGTAGCTACCTAAAATACAGTGAAGATTTGGTTATTTCACCATTTACTTGGGAAACTAGCTTGGACGTATGCCAAGTTGTGTTGGTCTTGTTTGTGATTTAGCCCAGTATATAGTGCCATCTTGGTGGCTTAATTCACAGTAAAAAAAAAATCTGGCTTATTGCTTTGTTGCCCTTGTACGCTTCCATGCAAAAATACCTTTCCCATTTCCTGTACTTTGCATACTCCACACAGGGACTGCTATCAAGTCCCTGCTCCACACTAGGATTTATAAACACAGAATAAATAAACAGCTTTGTTGTTATCTCCTACTAAAAGACAAAAGTACCTTTCAATTTGGTATAATATTTCAGCATTATTTTTTAAGCTCAAGCTTACTAGGACTAATGAGGAGGCATCCTTTTCTCTTTAGAAAACTAGGTGTGAGAAGTCGCTGTGTTGCTCCCCATGCAGTGTTGTCATTCTCTGTGCTGTACCTAGCTCCAAGGTCGACTCATTTTAGCCTGTCTCCAACTTTACTTTTAAAGGGAATATTATTCAGCATTTCTATGAAACTTGATTGTTTTGTTTTGTTTTGTTTGATGGTTACGAGCATTAAAAACATAATTTAAACTCCTTCCAAAACGAATACATTGTATTTCACAAAATTAGTCTGTTCTCAAAATGGTAGACATACCTAAGGAATACTGCTGATGTCCTGGGACAAGAATGTTGTACAAAAATTCAAAAGTTTTTTGCGCAAAACTATTCTGGCTTGTGGGAGTTTGATTTTTTTCAGAAAAAGAAAAGTCTGGCTCTTAGAGTTAAGTTTGACTTAGGATTTTTGTGAAACAACCCCCTGGACATCCTGCAGATCAGTTTTTAAACTGCAGCGATTAATATCTAAACTATTGTATTTCCATTCAAAATAGATATTATTAATTTCCCCCTATCTTTTCCACTTAGGTAACTGAGCACTGAGCATTGTTTCATCAAAACAAGTTGCAGGAGCAGCACAGACAACCTGTAACACGATGGGTGACGTAGATGCAATCGAGAGCGGGAAGCAGGAGTACACTCTGAGGCCACGCAACCGGGACTGGAAGGAGAGAACCAAGGTGTGGTTCAAGACCAACCTTCTTATCATCTTCACCATAGCGTCAGTACTTTGCGGGATCTTCCTTGGGATAGGTTTGAGGTCCGCAGAGCCTTCTAAAGATGCCATCCTCCTCATCGGTTTCCCTGGTGATGTACTCATGAGGATGCTGAAGATGCTGATTCTCCCTCTTATCGTCTCAAGCTTGATCACAGGTGAGTCTTCTTTAATGCTGTATTAGGGACTTTTAGATTTGCATGGACTGATACGTGTGACGTCCATTTAAGGCAGTGCATTAAGAGGACGTCGATCGTAGCAATCTACGTTGTTGTTCGGCAAATCTAAAAGTCCCTAAAGACCCAAATTAAGGACTCAATTTGAGCTTCAGTTTTGGCTTACTTGATGTAGACTCTAATTCAGATGTAGGAAAGACTTGACTTATCGTGAAACTGATAACTCAACCCCCTCTGTCTCACATTGATTTATGAACAAAGCTCAAATCAGAGACTCGCCTCGGCTAGCTCTTTGAGCTGACTTGTGCTGACTCTAGTCACATTAACAGAAAATACTTGTCAAGGAGCTCGACCACCTATTGACTTGATTTAACAGGGACTCGATCCCTACTGTCTTAACTTGATATTTAAGGATAGTTCAATTAAAGTAAGAAGTCAATTTGCTAACCCTGTGAGCTGACTTGAGCGTACTGGAGTCACAGATAGAAATGACTTGTCATGTAGCCCAAGGACCTATTGACTTCATGTGACTGGTACTCAATCCCTGCTGTCTCAACTCAACATATGGGTATACCCAGATAACAATACGGCGTTGGGCCAACGTCGGCCACCGTCGGCAGGGTCGCAGTCGGCAAGCCAACGTTGGCTAATCGTTGGGCCATCGTCGCCATTTTTTACTGATAAATGGTGGCTATTGGTTGGCTCATTCGACGTTGGGCCAATGTTGGCTGAACGTTGGTCCATTGTCGCCATTTTCACTGATAAATGGTGGCTATAGGTTGGCTATTCGACGTTGGGCCAATGTTGGCTGAACGTTGGTCCATTGTCGCCATTTTCACTGATAAATGGTGGCTATTGGTTGGCTAATCGACGTTGGTCCAATGTTGGCTGAACGTTGGTCCATTGTCGCCATTTTCACTGATAAATGGTGGCTATTGGTTGGCTATTCGACGTTGGTCCAATGTTGGCTGAACGTTGGTCCATTGTCGCCATTTTCACTGATAAATGGTGGCTATTGGTTGGCTATTCGACGTTGGGCCAATGTTGGCTGAACGTTGGTCCATTGTCGCCATTTTCACTGATAAATGGTGGCTTTTGGTTGGCTATTCGACGTTAGGCCAATGTTGGCTAAATGTTGGTCCATCGTCTCAATTATCACTGATAAATATTGGCTATTGGTTGGCTATTCGACGTTGGGCTAACGTTGGCTCATTGTCGCCATTGACACTGATAAATGTTGGCTTTTGGTTGGCTATTCGACGTTGGGCTAATGTTGGCTGAACGTTGGTACATTGTCGCCATTTTCACTGATAAATGGTGGCTATTGGTTGGCTATCCGACGTTGGTCCAATGTTGGCTGAACGTTGGTCCATTGTCGCCATTTTCACTGATAAATGGTGGCTATTGGTTGGCTATTCGACGTTGGGCCAATGTTGGCTGAACGTTGGTCCATTGTCGCCATTTTCACTGATAAATGGTGGCTATTGGTTGGCTATCCGACGTTGGTCCAATGTTGGCTGAACGTTGGTCCATTGTCGCCATTTTCACTGATAAATGGTGGCTTTGGGTTGGCTATTCGACGTTGGGCCAATGTTGGCTAAATGTTGGTCCATCGTCTCAATTATCACTGATAAATGTTGGCTTTTGGTTGGCTATTCGACGTTGGGCTAACGTTGGCTCATTGTCGCCATTGACACTGATAAATGGTGGCTATTAGTTGGTTATTCGACGTTGGGCTAAAGTTGGCTCAACGTTGGTCCATTGTCTCAAATATTACTGATAACTGTTGGCGTTTGGTTGGCTATTCGACGTTAGGCCAATGTGGGCTGAAAGTTGGACCATCGTCTCAATTTTAACTTATAAATGTTGACTATTGGTTGGCTATAGGCGTTGGGCCAATGTTGGCTTCATGTTGGTCCATCGTCTCAATTTTTTTTTAAATGGTGGCTTTGGGTTGGCTTTTCGACGTTGGGCTAACGTCGGCTGAACGTTGGTCCATCATCTCAATTTTAAATTTTAAATGTTGGCTTTTGGCTGGCCATTCGATGTTGGGCCAATGTTGGCTGAACGTTGGTCCATCGTCTCAATTATTACTGATAAATTGTGGCTGTTAATTGGCTATTCGACGTTTGGCTATTAACGTTGGCTCAAAGTTGGTCCATCGTTTCAAATTTTACTGAGAAATGGTGGATATGTTGGCTAATATACGCGATGTTGGGCCAACCTTGGCTTAACGTTGGTCTATATCATGGGTGTCGAATCTTACGTAATACCTATTGTTCAGGGGGGATGAATGAATAGATCATCCCCCCCCCTGATGAATAGGTATCAATGACAGATCGACACCCATGGTCTAAATCGTCTCCATCTTTACTGATAAATAGTGCATGTATATATTGGTTGGCTATATGACGTTGGGCCAACGTAGCAAATACGACCTAGTACCGCTACATCCGGGTAAAAAAAATTGCATGCGTGCGCATGCCCATGTGCTCATGCAATTGCAACGTACGTCAGCCATATCCTGTCCATTTGTCTGGACCAGTTGCCGGGGAGTACCAACACTGCATGGTAAATGAATGATTTTCTTTCTCTTTCAACGTTATTTTTGTGAGCATGTCGCGTGAAAATGATAAATTGTATAGTGTGAGAACTCCCCGTCACAAAGCGAGGGAAATAGCATGAGAAATTGTTAAAGTAATCATTGATAATTCCCTGTCCAAATGAAAGTGTAAGTGAGTATACGAGTGTACCGCTCTGCGTACGCTTAGCATGCACACCCGCTGCGTGCAATTGCAGTGTGATGATGGCTATGATGGGGGCCGAAGTGTCGGCATCAGATGCATTGAGTGTTTGCCGTGATAAATGTAATATGTTCCAGACTTAGAGTTAGACCTAGGTGATGTATTGATGCATCATGTTGCAGCGTCCGTGACAGTTATGATGTTCATCCTAATATGCAATATCGACCATGAATCAAATGATTGTGAATCTGTTGGTGTTACAAGTGTTGAAGGTGCTGATGCATTGTTGGAAAGACCAATTGAATCAAATAAAGCTGAATGGGAAGACGCATCATTTTTTTTATGCATATCTAAATGATATTATAGTCTCTGATACTTTCAGATTTAGAAGTAGGTCTATACTATACTCTGTAGTAGCTCCATATATGCTGATGATGATTCAGTTCGAAAAGGAATAAATTACGAGATTGGGCTGTGAATTAAGATATCCCGCTAGTACATGTTTCTAGCCTCCTGAAATCTTACAAGGGAGTGTGCCAAGTCTGTCAAAATATGCAAGAACTTTGTATCAACACATTTAGTGGATTGTGAGTGTGATGTGAAAGAGGTAGCTGGTGGGAATTACCCTCATTTTGGCATTTGCAATCATTTAAAGTCGCAATTGGCCAAGAACCTCAATTTGATCAAATAGTAAATAGGAAAAACTATTGGGGGCGGGGGTAACACTGATCGATCCCATAATTTTCATTCACAATTTTCATTCACAAATTTGATTATTGCTGCATTTTTATTCTCATTTTCAAATTAGTTTTTATTGTTTATGCACATGTATATTAAATTGCTATAATTTGAACTGAATGTACATATTCTAATTATTTATTTTTAAAATTCTGACGTTCTTTATTAATACATTCAATTCTATATAGCTCTTCCAAATCCCAATACTTTTTTCTCCCATAATCTCTACAATTCTGAAATTTAAATATTAAATCCTGCATTTCATATCGTCAACTTCACAACAAATTCCAGATTCCTCTACCCGTTCAGATCCAGCTACCCCTACCTCGATCATCCAGAACAGCATCAACAGCACCAAGGACCCCTTCGACATCGACCCCATCAACCTCCAGAACACTGTCGACCCACGACCCCATTGACCTCAACATTCAGAAATATGGGTATGTCATTTGGCATTTTATTCATTTTGTATTTAGTTATACATGTAGACAGGATACCACTTCTTAGTATTCGTTATAGTTGTGCCCTGCACACAAAGTACAAATGTACTGGATTAATGTACGTTTGTGTAGGACATAGCTGCTAACGGATGATAGTAGCATTGTGATCACTTACAAAACTATTCAACAACAACAAATCATGAAATACTGCTTATAGCAGTATTTTTTTGGAAACAATTCTGAATGCAGGGTGCCACAAAAAACAAAACACAGTCAATTGATTTGTTTCTTGTATAAGCAACTAACGATATAGCTTTGTGTTTTTGTTTCTACTTTGAAGCCCCTCGAGCTCTCTCAAGTATTGGGAGCTTACATAAATACAAAAAAAAAGTATTGGGAGCTTCACATTTCACTTCAATGTTATAATGATGTGAAAGAAAATGCCACTCTTCTTCAAACATTTGTCCTAAAAATTAGAAAGAATACAAACTTGCTAACTAAGGGTTTTGTGTTGTATGCAGAAAACGCAAATTTTGTATTCTTTCATCCATATTCTACTTCAAACACATTTGTTAGGGCAATATTCTATTTGCAGGAGTGTCCGGTGTTAATGACATCCTCTTTTACATCATACCATTTAAGTGAGATTGTTCCATCTATTCTTTGGCTAATTTTGGGATCCAACACTTAAGAGGGGCTTTAAACTGTTATCAATCAAGCATCTCAACACTGAGCAAACAGATACTATAAATTGGATCTTTCTATTGAAGAATATTACTGCCATTTTACCTCAAATGTATATTTCCTTTGTTAAGAAGAGCGTTTGATGCTATTCTAATTAAACAAGACAAAAATAAAAGAAATCCATTCCTTTCTAATTTCCATACGTCTGGGTCATTCGCTCTAAAGTTTGAACAAAGTTATTTTCATGACAAAGTACTTCTATCCATGAAATTTCATCAAAACTAGGGAGGATGTGCCACTCAGGACTACTTCCCTTGAATGCCGTACTATTTGATTAATATCCGTACTATTTCAAGGTGATGTTTCCATGATCTGCTTTTAAATCTTGTTTGGTTTCTTTCTTCTTCTTTTTTTTTGCCGCAGATGTCGAAGTTGTACCACCACAAGCTAGACAAGATTTTGATTCCGACTAACCCATTCTTTAAAGGTCCATTGCCTTAGGAAATTATAACTTTTATGTCTTGTATCAAGACCCTTTTAAAGCAACATAATAACAATTGTTTCATAAATAAATGCCTCCTTATATTTTTTACAATTTTTTGAAAACCTCTCCAAGTTGCTCGTCTAATGGTGGACCCCGACCCTTACAATTCTCAGAGTTCCTCGGAATGATTGACCAAAGGATTAGTGATGTTATATCAAGAACGATCTCCGCTTAGGCAAGCTACGGTGCTTGCTAGCCAGCTCTGCAGGCATTATGTTTTGTACACAAACATAAACAATAACTTTTGTTATTAAATAGTGTGCTATGCATCTTTACTTGTTATTTATTGTGGTGAAATTTCACTAATGGCCCAATTTTAAAAAGAGAGCTATACCATGAGTCGGAGAAGGTCGTAATTGATTTGAATGCCTGTATAACGTGTCAACTAAATGCATGCTATAAAGAATTTCAAAGGTAAGAAAAAAATGTTTCATATATCTAAGTGACTGAATGTTTTTCGTACTACCTTCTTCTCAATTTAAAGAAATATTGGAAGTGGTATATCAGAGTGAAGAAACTTGTGTTTTTCCCTTTACAAGCTCTGCTCTTACTTCACTTTCCAATTTCCTCTCTTGTTATATAAACATTTAGCGATTGCTTTACTTCACACATTCAAGCAATGTATACTATCCCTCCTAAAAAAAAACAGTTTGTAGATGTGTTAACAATAGATATGGCGACGAAATGTATCAGCATCTCTGAAATGCCTAAGCATAAAAAATGTTGGCAATTTCTCTGAATTTTATTTTTTATTTTTTATGGAACATTGTTTACATTAATTGCCTAGTTCTTGGTATGCAAATGGTGGACACTTTATTAATTTCTTTATATTTTTGTGCTGTACATATGTAGAGGAATCTTGTCATAAGCAATCGTGTTCGTCTGCCAGACAGTTTGTTTTGTTTTACTCGGGAAGTTGTGAGGATTGTTTATTATATTCGTACAATGAATTTCAGTATGTTATGTTGTGTTACGAATTCGAATTCAAACGAAAATACAAAAGAAAGATGTACAATCATTGTATTCACATTTACAACAGTTTGTTTATTACACATAAAATAAAGTATGTTTTATCACAAAATCAGTTTATTTTCCTTGTTCTTTTTTTTTGGAGGGAGGGGGATGTATTCAGAGCAAATTCTAAGAAGCAAGATGGTGAACTTTTCATTAAAATGGGACAAATAAGTTGTTATCAATTTTTGATAGTGATTAAAATGTACAAGATAATAGACATGACGAAATTAAATAACATGTCCCTCTTGCTTCAATATTGTTATTATACATATCTTCCAGAGGGATCTAAGTCGAGTTCTATAATGAACTTTTCTCAAATTCAGTCTAATTTTGATGAAATTGTTACTATCTTCATTTTGTGGATTTTGCTCTGTTTATTTATTTAATCCAATCTTAAACTACTTGGCTTTTCCTTGTCACGTTGTGATGCATGTGTTTGAATGATTGTACATGTCCGATGTAGTATGATCTTGACGATGTTCTTATGAACGGACGACTGATGTTGGTGTGAATATGTTTTTTAGTTGGTGTTGGTAATGTCAGAAGGATGTTGGCATGAACTGGAAAGGGGAGGTACAACGTCGGCACATGGTGGGATACGGGTTGGCATAACGTTGCTTCTATGTCGGCAAATGGTGGAGAAGAGGTTGGCATAACGTTGGTCTACCATTGGCACATGGTGGAGGAGGGGTCGGCACTTGGTGGGAAAAGGGTTGGCATTATGTTAGGACAACGTCGGGGAGACGTCGGCACATAGTGTAAAAGGGGTTGGCATTACGTTGGTCCTACTTCAGGGAGACGTCGGCACATGGTGGAAAAGGGGTTGGCATTACGTTTGTCCTATGTCGGCATATGGTGGGATAGGGGTTGACATGACGTTGGTCATACGTCGGAGGGACGTTGGCCCGATGTTGGCTTAATGTCATTTCGTCGCTGTCGAGCCAACGTTGGCCCGCCGGCAAGAAAGCCGTTGGCCCAACATCACATTGGCGACGATGGCGCAACGTAACAGCCCACGACGTCGGCACATGGTGGGATAGGGGTTGGCATAACGTTGGTCCAATGTCGGAACTACGTCGGCAAATGGTGGGATAGGGGTTGGAATAACGTTGGCCCTACGTCGTGGAGACGTCGGCACATGGTTGAAAAGGGGTTGGTATAACGTTGGGCCAATGTCGAGGAGACGTCGGCACATGGTGGGATAAGGGTTGGCATAACGTTTATCCAATGTCGGAACAACGTCGGCACATGGTGGGATAGGGGTTGGCATAACGTTGGTCGTACGTCGGCACATGGTTAAAAAAGGGTTGGGACGACGTTGGTCCAATGTCGGAAAGACGTCGGCATACGGTGGAAAAGAGGTTGGCATAACGTTGGTTCAATGTCGGGAGGACATCGGCACATATGGTCGGATAGGGGTCGGCATAACGTTGGCCCGATGTTGGCTTAATGTCATTTTGTCACTGTCGGGCCAACGTTGGCCCGCCGGCAAGAAAGCCGTGGGCCCAACATCATGTTGGCGACGTTGGACCAACGTAACAGCTTACGTTGGCCCCACGTTGGCGTAACGTCGTATTGTTATCTGGGTAGCTTGAGTCAGAGACTCAACTTTATAGCTTTTTGAGCTGATGTATGTCAGCTGACTGGTTTCACAGAGAGAAACTCAACTCAATCAAACTAGGATTCAATCCTTGCTGTCTCATATGAACATAGCTCTAGGATACAGCTGTTTTGCAGTGTCTTGTGTTTAAAATTTAGACAAATGTAGGAGTCAATCTTGACCCCTGCTTACCCAACTGAACAAAAAAAGCCAGCTTTAGCTACATCACTTTCAGTGTTTTAATAGCTTGAGTCTTATTCTCAGATTTGGTGACGGTATAGGAGGAAAAGTTTAGACTTGACACTCTATTGACTCTTCCCTAAACTTGACCCTTGTTGAATCAACATGAAATATCAGTTTAGCTTTAGGGACTCAATTATGCTTGTTGAGTCATGGACTCAAGTCCAACTCAAAGGTGAGAGGCTCGACATCCAGATGGCTCAATTCTGAGCTTTACCTGATTCTTATATACTTTAATAATAATGATGATAATAATAATAGGCATTTCTATAGCGCCATCTATCTAGATAATTATATTCCGAGGCACATTTATTATTACCCCGGCTTTAGCCTAGCAGCTGTTCATACAGCGCTCCAGCATTTCAAGGAATTGATTCCTGCCAGGTACCCATATACATCACCTGGGTTGATTGTGGCAAATGTAGATCAATGTCTTGTCAAAGTCATTAGTGCCGCGGCAGGACTCGAACCGCGGACCTTGCGATCGACATTCCGGCGACGGATCCACTCGACCACGACACCTCTACCTTTAATTGACCAATTTAGAAACATCCATTTTTTTTCTTCAGGTCTTTACCATAAACAGATATATTCTAATGGAATATGTGCAAAGATATGTTTATGAGTTTTAGAAGTTGCTTCAGTGGTTGCACTTAATTTCCAGCTAACAAAGCACACCTGTTAATTGTTTCCATCATCACCACCCTGTTTAGGTCTAACGGGCCTTGACGCCAAATCTAGCGGAAAGTTAGGCGGGAGGGCGCTTCTCTACTACTTCTGCACGACCTGCATCGCCGTCATCATTGGAATCATCCTGGTAGTAGCCATCCGCCCCGGGAGAGAGAACATCAAGAAGAATCTCGGAGACGGTAACCAAGTGAAGGAGCTCACCACCCTGGATGCGTTCCTAGACCTCCTCAGGTAAGAAGATGGACCATTTCTATCAGATGTTGCATTAAAAAGAGGGAGCATAATATTCCTAAACTTCGCTGTTAAGCAGGGTTGTCCACAAACCACATGTGAATTTGAAACTTGGAATGACTATGAACTGATATGTGCCAAGTTCAAAATCTCTTGTCGCCTTGGTCCATACTAAGGCTCACTCAATGGCTCACTCTAGGGCTCTAAAGGGTTATTATTTGCTCTCTGGTGCAACCTCAGCCATATTTGGGAGCATTTTCAACAAATAGTATGATTAATACTTACAAAATAATTTGGTTGTAAATAGATTTTAACATGTCACTGATTTTCAAACCTGTAGTTTCAAGCTTCAAAACTGCAGCTTTTTTTCGAATATGTAATTTGGACATCAGCCTGGACATTGGCCTGGTTTTTAGCCTGAGACCTCTTGGTTTTGAGATCACTTCTCTGCCGCAGGGCCATCATGTCTTTATTACTTTTCTGTTATTCCAACCTTTTCTTAAATTGAATATCCTTACTCAAAGAACAGTTCATTGGAAAGTCTAAGTTCTAATCCACCGATTTAGAAAGAGCAATGTTCCACAATAATAATGCTCTTTCAGTATTTCTATTTAGCCTCTCATTTAACTAAATAAGGAACTGCAAAACGAAAATAAGATTGGGTTCGTCACCCTAAAGTACAACTACTGGTACCTCTCCAAGTTTTCTCGCAAAATACTGTTTAGAAAGATCCATCATATTTCCTCCTTTCTGACTGTTCAGTTCTCTCCTCTATAATTTGTTTGGCTCCCAAACTGCTGAGTACTTATATTTTAACAAGAACCCTGGATTTTCTTATTACAAGATGCACTAAGACCCCTTTTGTCTCTTTTTTTATGGGGGGACAGAAGAAAAAATATCCCATTCCGTTCTTCATGTTTTAAAATGGGTTTCTCCCCAATGCCGGGGCCTGAGGTGGTGTTTCTTTCAACTGTACCACCTGAACAAATCAACCACATGTTGCTAATAGGCCAAGATGTTTTCAAGCTCTTCCTCATTATCTGTGAGAAGTTTGCAGTGGAGCCAGCTTGACAAAATGGTTCTTTGTTGATCTTAGATTGGACAGATGTACCCTTTGAAGGAGGACATTTATGCCCTCCTGCCTCCTGACACCCCCTCCCCCTTCTTCATCTCAAAGCATGCATGGCCCACCTCTGTGTTACTATAGGTCTGTCGTCATCAGCCCGAGTTGGTCAAATACATGTAGCTCACTATTTTGTGATCTGGGAAATTACAAATCACGTCTTCATTAGTTCAAACTCAAGCCCGAGAAATTTGCTCAGTGTTTATGCATAGTGCGAGTCTTTGGGCTGGTGAAGACAGTCCACAAATAGCCCAAGATATCTTGGGAAGATTTCCCGACCAAATAGCCCGCTATTTGCATGGTCGCTTGCCAAATAGCCAGCTATTTCCTGATCTGGCGAATTTCCCCGATCAGAAATAGCGGGCTATTTGGCCAGCTCGGGCTAACAAAGATAGTCGTATTGATATTTTCTGTTTTGATCCAGGAAGACGTTAACTTTTAATTGTACACAGAGATAATACCCTTCTGCTCCTAACAGATAATACTCTTTGTCAGTTGGTGCAAGAAGGGCACTCACAAAGAATATCATTTGTTGTTAGAGGTGACATTGTGAAATATGGAAGTCATTAGACTAGAAGGGTTAAATGGGCCTGAGAGAGAAAGAGAGAGAAAGAGATAGAGAGAGAGAGAGAGGGAGAGAGAGAGAGAGAGAGAGAGAGGGGGAAGACAGAAAGAGAAAGAGGGGGGGGGGGGGGGGAGAAACATATTCTTTAAGCTGATTTTTCTTACCTTTGGCTAGCTTGTATTTATGTTTGACAGACTCAAAGAGAACCCAGAATTCTTAAGACTTAGATTTAAAACAAGCGTGACTCAACATGACGTGCGAACTATACACATGCTTCTGGCTATCAAACAAGCATTGTCGTTACTAATCTCATGTACTCACCAAATGATTCCTGACGGTAAATTGAGCATGACGCTGAACATTGAACCCTGACAAACATCATTTTAAGGAACATTCACATGAAAGATTTTAAAAAATGGAGACTTCCAGAAGACATGCTTTACCTAGAATTAAGTGTCCCCCAAAAGTTGTGAAAAATTCCCAGGACATTTATTCTTCACAGATTATGTTTACATACATGTATACCTTCTCAAAATGTTTTTGTAAATTTCTATGACCCTTAGTTTAGATTGTTCTGAGAAGATACAAAGTTTATTTATCCACAGTGTCTGTATCCTATACTCCAGACAATGCGGTAGTCCAGGTTCCCTTCACTGCAAGTAAAGAAAGAATTAATATGGACGTTCCAAAAGAACTGGGTCATGTTTGATTTATAATAGTCCAGAACAAGGATGTCTACTGTATACAATTTATCTTTATGGAATAATAAATCAATTTTGAGGTCATTCTGACTTTGTTGGGTTAATTGCCCTTTGACATGTTAACCCTATTTCTACAACTCACCAAAATGATATCCAAAAAAATCCATTCCCTGTCCCCCCCCCCCCCCCTCAACCATCAAAATAAATTGAGGCCTTTGGAATTTAGGTCCAAACAAACATAATATATGTATGATTTCCTAAAAGTTTTTTGAAAACGTGTCAACAGAAAATATCCATGGAGTTAAATGTTCTTTAAGAAGAGATCCCTAGAAGTTTAGACCCTGCATGACACAGTGTCTTTGTGAGTTGGAACTTTGATTTTAAGTCATAAAATCTCAATATTTTTTCTTAATATCTATACATCATTAAGCACTCATTTACCATGATATGCACATGAGCTCATATGGAACAAAGTCATGAATGATGATGAGATTAATGTATTTTGCAGTCCATCTGTTAAATGACTTTAATACACTATGATTAAATTCAGAGAAGAGGTCAACTTAGTCGACATAGGCTAAAGTAGAAAGTGGAGGTTTATGAAATTTTTTAAAAAATAGAAAAAATTCCCTTGCCCATTTTGAAATAGCTATCACAAAAACAATCACAAGAATTTGTTCTATTAAGATGAGTCTTTGTTACAATTTTCTTTTCACATTTCGTTTCTGATTTAGAGAATAAACTTTACCAAGATTTAAAGAGAAGGTTAAGTTCTGGGAAGAGGTGAAAAATAATTTGTGAGCGTTACTCATTCTTATTATGCAAGTGTGGAAGAACATCAGATAAGACATGTTCCCTGAAAAGCATGGCTCTTCAAATGCCTTCTTATTCTAAATATGCATGTAACATCGTAAAAATCGGGGGCCGGCTTTTTACGCCACGTGTACTGTAGTCCCATATACATCTTTCTGTGTACAGTGTTTGTAATTTTACCAAGTCTTGGCCAAATTTCTTATCATTTTGATGATTCCAGAACCTTGCAATACACACAAATTCTTATATGCTAGATGATCAACCTTTTCTGGTCGGTTCCACACAGTTTCTTTCACAATGCAATCGCATGACCAGAACTCAACTTCATCTTTAAGTTTTGCTTGGTGACTGAATCCCAATCTAGGAACCCATTCATTGATATGATAAAGATCTTTGGACAGATTGTGGGAAATGTCGGTTTGATCACTTACTGGTATAAGTCAACTCAAAAGGGCCATTTACACAGCAAACAAAAGCTGTCAGTTTGTCTCACAATGAGATTTTTGTTGGAAGTTGCTAGGCAGCTACCCATTAACACAATATAAAAAAAAAAACATTGCAAAAAGTTTCCCCTCTCCCTCTCTCTTTCTTCCCCTCTCTCTTTCTTTACTATCATCTCTCTATTATTAGCATGTTAAACAGTGAAGTAAAGATAAACAAAATCCTTTTTTCTCATGGTTTTCTGAAAGAGCTATTACTTTTTGTTTAAGAAGAAATTGAAAATTCCCGTAACATTATTCTCTGCTTTATTAAAAAAAAAGGGAAACTGCACATTTGTCATAATATTGACCCAGTTCATTTCCTCTCTTTTTTAAAAGCTGCCTTTCTGTTCTTATTGCTTTTTAAAAGAGTTTGCCACTTTTTAAATACTAAGAATTAAGGCCTGCCCCAACCAGGAGATTATTGATATTTTTGTTTTCGCCTGCTTTTTACTCCTCTCACCCATGGCTGTTGTATATGTCCCTTTCTTCTCGCCATCCATATCCTCCACATTGGTCACTCCATTTATCTCCCTGTTCTTTTGAATGTTTTCTAAAGGTCTCTCTTCTTTTCTTTTTCTTTCCCTCCCCCTCTCCCCTCTCCCCCTCTCCCCTCTCCCCCTCTCCCCCTCTACCCCTCCCCCACACCCACATACTCACATCACACATAAACACACATTCATTTTCTCAATACTTCCTTTTCCTTTTCCCTTTTCATGATTTTCCCTCACTCGATTTCTCATAGTCTCTCTCTCTCTCTCTCTCTCTCTCTCTCCCTCTCTTTCTCCCCTCTCTTTCTCCCTCTCTCCCTTCCTCCCCCTCTCTCTCCCTTCCTCTCCCTCTCTCTCCCTCCCCTCTCTCTCCCTCCCCTCTCTCTCCCTCCCCCTCTCTCTCTCCCTCCCCTCTCTCTCTCCCTCCCCCTCTCTCTTCCTCTCTCACTCCTCTTTCCCCTTCAGCATGTCTGCTGTCAAAGTCAAAGTCCAAGCACATTTACTCAATTCTATTTGTCATGGACAAAACCAGGAAGGGCATCATTCATTCAAGCTGCCTTTGACAAGTTTGCATAGTGCATTCTTCCTCTACAATAATACCATTGTATGCTACCAAGTTGATTTCAACACAATAGAAAATACAATTCTGCGCTCACATTGCCATAATGTAGAGAATACAAGTCACAATTTTAATCATGGTAATACATAATCCCAATTGCATACAGGTAATGGCCTGAGGCAAGGCAAAGTGCTATGAGGCATGTAATTGTACTTTCCAGCCATGGAAACAGGTCATTTTGGTATAGTCCTTCTTTTTTCCACAATTTTTTTCTTCTTCATAATTTCATAATCACATTTTTTGTATTTCATTTTTCTGAGCTGTATTTAGCGAAAGGCGAGTGATATAAAAGTAATGACATGCTTTACTCTATGTTTTTGGATTATCCTATTCAATTTGCATATCTGGTATTAAAGCCCCTCTAAAAATAAAGTGTTCGAAGCCCCAAATTTGCCAAAAATTTGATGGCAAAATTTCACTTAGATTGTATCAAAATAGAGTGGTGAAGTGTGACGTCATCAAAAAATTCAATTTTTAGAATTTCTCAATTTTTTCTTCATTTTCTGAAAGAGCATCAAAAATAATGTCCAAATGTCAAAAACCAACTGAATATGTAAGTATTGGCTGAGATATGAACATCTGAATACAAAGATTGCCTATAGGAACTCAGTGTTATTTTGCTATGGTTTGTATTTCTCTTTCTCCCTCTCTCTACCCCTCTCTCTCTCTCTCCTTTTTTCTCTCCTTTTCTCTCTCCTTTTCTCTCTAACTATATCTATCTCTCTCTCTCTCCCCTCCCTCCCTCCAATGAAAAGAAGAAGATGACATATACCAGTATTGATGTTAGGATGTATTCTCCTGTGAATAGACAATGATAGATAGTGCTTGATGGATGGGGGTGGGATATAGCCCATTTCCTCTCATCTGTATTACTGCCCAAATACATAACTTCTCTCTTTTCACAATCCAAAACAATCTCTCAGCTCACGTATATAGTCTGTAGACACAAACTGTTGGCACAAAATGAAATTCTATTTAAATAACCATTTGCTCCACTCCGCCCAGGTTAGATTAATGGGTACCTGGTAGGATTATTCATTATTCTTATTCTGTTTTTGTTCTTTGCTTTTTTTTTACAGGAATTTCTTCCCAACAAATTTGGTGCAAGCTTGCTTCCAACAGGTATGATTTATGATAATCAGTTATTTACCACTTTCACAGAACATTCCAAGGAAGATTTGTCCTTCCGCCTAATGTTGATCTGTTGTTTTTTTAAATCTTGTCGATTTTAGTCTGAAGATAGAATGATCTATGCCTGTTGCCTTTAATGAACGTTAGCTTAAATATAATGGAATAGTCTATTCAGACTTCAAATTGTACATGTAGTTTAGCTATTTTGTTTTGCTGCAAGTTCCTACTAATACCCAAGTTTCTGATGCATATTAGATGAGCATCCATGAAATACTCTGAATTTTGATGAAATTTGAATTTTGAGCAAGGATAACATTGCCAACAAATCAGTGCATGTATGTAATGTATAAGTGGATGTATAATTGCCAAAATGACATTCTACTAAAAATCTGGTAAATGTTTCATACACCTGACAAATAATTTCATTTGTATTCCTCTCTTTTCTTTCATATCAGACACAAACATATCAGGAAGACGCAGACGTTATTGAGAAAAGGCTTGTTAATAGCACGCTTTTAAACTCCACACTTTCCTACAGCGGAGTCGCTGCAGATAATGTTACAGGTCCTGTGAATGTCACATATGAATACATCACCGTCGGTACAGAAATCGTTCGCAAGCAGGGATTCAAGAATGGCATGAACGTACTTGGTAAGAACTCATCTACTTTATTCCTTTCAAATAAAGCTTCATTCTTAACATTTAAAAAAATGATTTAGGAGTTAATTGACCCAATTAACACAATTCAATTCAATTCAATTTTATTTCGCAATATGAAATATACAAATATACAAAGTAACAGTAAATTTTAACTATGTTACAAAGGTTGGAAGTGTGTCGCTAGCGGTTGTAAGTTTCGTTTTAATGAATTCCTTTTTTTGGTCGCACAAGGTTGGCAGTTCTGAGTATGTGCATTCATCCCTAGTGCTGCACGTACATATAGATGTTATACATGTATGTGGAACCAAATCCAAGTTTGTAGAGACTGATGCTCCGTTTGGGCGGAGCACCATGTGGAAAAGTTTGATCGCCCAACTTTTCTCACCACTCTGAATAGCCTTTTCACATGCTTGCATTGTGCCGGCGATACACACAGACACAGAGCCAACAATCCACTGTTTTCTCACCAAACATCTGGTTCTGGCCTTGCGGTTTCGGGGCAGGTCTCACCACAAAAAAGTACTTCTTAAAGATTGAAACCTGACCGCAATGTCAAAAATATCCAAGGGTGTATGGAAACCTATCTACCTTTGCGGCTAAAGGCGTGTTTCTTTTCTTAAAGCATGTTACAATCTGGTTATTTTGTGGTCTGAGCCAGATTTCTTTTCATTCAAAGCTCTTTTTTTATTGAATAAGTGGTGACCTCTTCCTTAATAGTGTACATGTATGTATGACTATTGTCTACTGTGCTCTCTCTCTCTCTCTCTCCCCTTTCTCTCTTTCTCTCCCCCTTTCTTTCCACTTTCTCTTCCTCTTTCTTTTTCTCTCTCTTTCTCTGCTTTCCCCTCTCCCTCTCTCCTCTCAGTCTGCTCTGCTCTCCTATCTCTCTTTCTCTTTCTCTTTCTCTTTCTCTTGCTCTACCTTTTTTTACCTGGGGATATCCAAAGTAGGTCATCAAGTGTTCCTTACATGGTTTTGATTTGGCCTTCTAAATAACTCAAGATCAGGTTCAGATAGATGTGTGTCAGGGAATCTGGTGACCACACACTGTTTGCTACTCACTGTTTGCTACGCTACATGATACTTATTCTTCATGAAGAAAGTTATTCTGTAGAAGATTTGGTAATAGATCAGGATTAAAGATGCCCAAACACAGACCCAACACCAGCAACTTTACCATGAGCAGCAGCAAACACTTCCAACACAACCATCATCATCATAACCACCATCATGCATCACCACAACTAAACCACCACCACCACCACGATCATCAATACCACCACCACCACTACCACCAACACCATGGCCACAACCACACCCTCAATATGACTTACACCACCATCCTCACCACTACCAATACCACCACCAAATTCACTACTACTACTACCACCACTACCACCACCTACCACCAGCTACCATCATCACCAACACCATTGGCTAAAAAATTACCATCCCTTTATCTTCACCACCTTGTCCTGTTTTTGTTTGTCACCCTTATTTTTATTTACTATACATATTAGTCTGGAATCGTTTGCATGAAAAGATCTTTCTACTCTGCAATGAAATTATTCAAGTCATTCTTAATAATCATGACATCAAATTGAATCACTTCTTGTATTTTGAATATCCCTTAAGGTAATTTCTAGCAGTGACATCAATCATTTGAATAGATAACAAAATATGGGAAGGGTAGTCTAAATTGATAAAACTCATTAACAAACTTCTGATTGCCTTTAAAGGTACTATGTCCCATTTGCAGGCCAAAAAATGAAAAGGTTAATTCCCAACGGTATTTGAAAGATAATACTAATTTAGAACTTCCCTTAAAAAGGGGGGGGGGGCTTGAAAATGTCTTTAAGTTGGAAAATAATGACTATTAGTTGTCAAATGGACTTAGGAGCTATAGAGCCAATAAGTAATAGTCTTGATTTTCAGACCATTGTACCGCATGGTTGTACGTTTTATGCTGTGCAAAGATTCAATCAGTTTAATTTTGGCCATTACAAGAAGTGGGTTATTGATGTAGACAAATGCTCATGTACCCTTTACAGCTCAGTTTATGTATGTTATTACCAAAGAAGGAAAACAGCCAGTCAGTCACTCAATAGTGTCTGACAGTGAAGTCTAGCAAGTAAACGGGTCTCCTTGCATAACTTGAATATTCGGACACTGTTAACATTTAAATTTCACAGATAGGACATACATGACATATTCATAATTCCTGCAAAGTTCTACAGCATTTGAGGTTGGCTGCAAAAGGGACATAGTATCTTTAAAGTCATGAACCTAGAGTTCACATGTCCTCTTTTCATCTAAGAGGAGGTAGACAAACCAGGATGTTAGGGGGTCAAAGGTCATCATACCCTGAGAAAGTTTGCTGGTGATGTTTTACTTCAGCACCTTGCGTTTGTCCAAATTGGCAATCTTGTTAAGTAATTTTCTGTATTTGATTTGGAAATGAGGTGTTTTCGTGACATTTGGTAAATTGGTTCATTGATAGCCTTGCAGGGAAGTGATGATAGAGGTGTCATTGTGCTCAAGCTCTGCATGTGAAGCATTCAAATGGATGTCCATCAGTACCAGCCAGTCAGCTCCATGTTGACATGAAATTATTTATTTCTTCTTCTCTCTTTTTTTTTACTTCCCTTGGCCATCACATATTCAGAAATCCAAAGGTCATGGCCCGATCCGTGGGCAACAGGGCACTAAGCCACTAATGTTCTTCGACAAGACACTTATGTTTGTTTACAAGACATACCTAATTTCTTTCTCACTCTCTTGACCCAGGGGTAGCACCTACTAGAATCTATTTCTTTGAATGCAATGTGCACTGATAGAGATTACTTGTGCTCAAGTTGAAGAAAGAACGAATGTGCTTTACATGAATAATCTAAAAAGCAGTCATGATGCAACCATCATAAATAAATTTCTACTTTTACATTTCATGATGTAGTCCTTATTGTTTTCTCAATATTTTGGTCAGGAATTACATTAAATATGTATGTAGCGTTTCATAAATTATTGAGCTTTGAAAAGCCAGGTTTGACTTAGGTAATGTAATAGAAACTAATGACTACAAGAAGACTACACCGGGCGATGGCCAATCAACATTCGTCTTTCCCCTCAAGAAATATTGGACTTGCAAACCAGCAGCAAATATAGGGGAGAGGGAGGGGGGGGGGGGGGGGGAGGAAGATTTATTGAATGTCCATTTTATGCTTGCCTTAACTAAACAGATTCATATATAAATTGGCATGTCCTGTCCAGACTATATATATTACATTTATAAAAGAAAATCTTTTAAAGAATCATCGTATAAACCTAAAGGAGCGTAAAGATTCAGTAACAACATTGTACAAAGAAACTAGTTTTTGACATTGTCAGTTTATACGACAGTCATGAGTACGGGGTAATGTTAAGCCCCATCCAGTTATACAACTTTCATACTAATACAACATTTAGACTAGAAGGGAATGCTGATTCTTCATCGATTTTTCTTTCGAAACGATGCCCAAACTGGCGTTTCTTTATACGTTTCTTTATACTATATAACTAGCTGTAGCTATCTATGATTCTGGTATAGCTATACAAAGAATTTTGGTGGTCTGAAAAGGGGAGTTAAATGATTTTTAAACTGTCCACTGCTGTATTTCCATTTTTGCCGAGGCGCAATCGATAAATTAGCCTGTTCACATTAAAGCTATGGGTTAAATTGACCAAGGCCCCATCTTAGTAAAGAGTTGCGATTGATCAAATCAATTGCAAGTCCTATCAATCGTAAGTTTGCAGTCTCACATCTTCTTATGTACATAGTTGCGATTAATATCAACTCTTTATAAGACAAGGCCCAGATGTACTCTTTTGTAAATAAGAAGTTTTACATGTGTAATAGCCATTGCATTTACATGTTCATCGTAGGTAGTTTTGATGAATACAGGCCTTTGTTTACATTGCATACAATAGAGAAGAGAACCATAGTTTAAACACTGCTTTTATATACATTTAACTTGGTTAAAAAGTAGTTAAGTTAAACAAATGGCATATCATTGTTTTTGAGAAAATAACCATAACTTGAACTATTCTCATATCTTGTAATAAACATAATAGACATGTTGGAATGTGATTGATAATGGTTCACTCAGCCTCATGTGAAGGGAGCCAGGCTAAGTTTAAGAGCCGCTGGTCCATTGGAGGATGGAAAATTTGTTTCTGATTGGCAGCTAACCCCAAGCAGACGGCCAATTATCTGTGGAAGCTTGAGGTTAAAGGTCATGGAGAATGTTCTTTCTTTCTCCGGGTTTCTGGATACTTTTGGTGGGAACCTGTTGGTTCTTGATTGCTACAATTCACTCTAGTCAAGGAAGACATAAGTCTTCCTTGACTAGAGTAGTAATTCCACTTGAAGGATCCCTGTACTTTTTTGTCCTAATTGTGCAAAGAAAACCTTCAAAAAGTATCTTTCATTATTGAGTCCTCCCCCCCCCCCCCTCTCTCTCTCTCTCTCTCTCTCTCTCTCTCTTTCTTTCTTTCTCTCTCTCCCTCCTCTGTCTAACTTATTTTCTGGCATTTTTCTCTCCTTTTCTCAATAAATGAGAAAAAAGGTATTGTCAGAGATCATTTTTTTATCTTTTTTGTGGAGGGGGGGAGGGGGGGGGGGTACTGCCATGCATTTAGGAAGAGACTTTTACAAAATTGTGTGACAAGCTAAAGAAATATTGAATAAAAATAAAAGGAAAGGGGGAGGGGTCTCTCACTTTTTAAAGGTTTTCTTCATTACTCTGAAGACCAGAACACCCAAGTTTTATGGGTTTGCATGTAGGTCAATATGAATTATGCCTTAATTTTCCACATATAGGGCAAAGACTGAAAAAGACTTCTTTTTTTTTACAGCATGGATAAACGGAATGTGCTTGCAAGTTTCAAGTAACCGAAGAGAAAAGGGCCCCAAAATGAGACCTCAGATTTTCGATATTGAGAAGAAAAAAATGAAACATTGTCGCTGTATATAATTGTGATTCTCTTCCAGCTCAAGAAATCAAATTCATATGTCACCTGACTTACCTGTGGAATTATCTTCCTTGTTCTTTCCAATTTCAGGAATCATCGCTTTCTGCATCTTTTTTGGTATTCTTCTGGGACAGATGGGAGAGCGTGGTCGTGTTATGGTCCAGTTCTTTGACATCCTCTCTGACCTCACCATGCAGATGGTCAACATCATTATGTGGTAGGTCAAGCTAACAAGCTACTTCATTTTCTGATTAAAGAAGTCCTTCTTAGGTACATGTAGCTTAGGGGAATTTAGTAGTAAAAAAGATGCATGATTGGTTATTGGCAGATTTGTCACTGATTTTTGTCATTTGACATTGAAAAAAAAAGGCTTTGTGAAACACCCCCCTGGTTATAATTCGCAGGTCTGTTATAACCTCTACAGCCAGCATCCTTCTATTCTTATTAGGTACTCTCCTTATCTGTGCCATGATTCTGGCCATTGAAAATCTTTAGTCCGCTATGCAGGGCTTCACACTGACTTGTTCACTAAGGGTTCAGATCAAAATGTTGGGGTCTGTATGCATTAAGCCCTATTTTGGAATGTTGGGGTCCAGACCTAGATTTGGGGCATCCATAATTTGTCCCGGGCATCTGTTAGTGTTGAGCCCTGTGTTATGTATTCACCCTTCGCCATCAGTAGCCTGCACCTCGGCAAGAACAAAATCTATGCTGGATCTATTGTAATCTCTAGTTGCCTTTAACTCTTCTTCACAGGTACTCACCTATTGGCATCATGAGCAAGAACATAATCTATGCTGGATCTATTGTAATCTCTAGTTGCCACCAACTCTTCTTATCATGCAGGTACTCACCTATTGGCATCATGAGCAAGAACATAATCTATGCTGGATCTATTGTAATCTCTAGTTGCCACCAACTCTTCTTATCATGCAGGTACTCACCTATTGGCATCATGAGCAAGAACATAATCTATGCTGGATCTATTGTAATCTCTAGTTGCCACCAACTCTTCTTATCATGCAGGTACTCACCTATTGGCATCATGAGCCTGATCTGTGCTAAGATCCTTGATATGGACAACCCTGCTATGGTCTTCTCTAACCTGGGTCTCTACATGGTGACCGTCCTGCTAGGGTTGGTCATCCATCTGGCCTGTCTCATGACCATATACTTCACCATCACTCGCAAGAATCCCTTCACATTCTTCAGAGGTCTCCTACAGGCTTGGCTCACTGCTCTCGCTACATCCTCTAGGTAACTAAGACTCCATAGGCAGACAGGCAGATCTTTTAAAGCCCCTCTGCACTACTTATAGCTATACTTGCGCCCTCTAGATATAGCAAACAATGCCTAATCGGTGACCATTGGTCCCCCCATGATCCCCTTTTTCTTATGTTAATTGGTAGCTAATTTAATGAGATATCCACCTGTCATTGACCTTGCAGGGAGGTCTAATCCCTCCTGGCCGAACTAGTGCGGTGGGGCTTTAACAGCTCAATCAGTCAGCTTTCGTTTCTTCAAATTGGCAACAACGATCCCTGTTTATCTTTCCTAATAAAGTATCATGTGACTGAAAAATGTACATAGATCTTAAAGCCTGTCTGCACTAGTTTGTCCAGGAAGGATTAGACTTTTCATGTGTGTTCATTGACAGGTGGTTATCTCATCAAATCAGCTCTCAATTAAAGATAAACTTGAGTTCTGGTAATGCGATTGCATTGTGAAAGAAAAGGTGTGGAATGGATCAGAAAAGTTGATCATGTAGCATGTAAGTAATGGTGTGTAATGCAAGGTTCTGGAGTCATCAAAATCATCATAAATTTGGCAGAGTCTTGGTAAAGTAACAATCACTTACACAGAAAGATATATATATGGGACAACACACATGGTGTCGGGGCTAGTACTACCCTGATTTTCTTATCTTTCTATGCTCATTCCTCAGCCAGTATACATTTTATTCCAAAATTGTTTGGCACATGACATTTATTTGTAATCTTGAACATTCAGTGTAAGTTTTGTTAGATTCTGTGAGAATTCATTTTCTTTTTTTTACCAGAACTCAAGTTTATCTTTAACATAAGAAAAAGGGGATCATGGTGGGACCAACGGCCACCACTTAGGCATTGTTGGCTATACAGAGGGTGCAAGTACATTGTAGCTAGTAGTAGTGCAGTCCCGCTTTAAGAATAAACAGGGATGAAAACGATATTCAAAAGGGATCAATGAACTACAATGTAAGCCACAAATATGTTTCAACTATTGAAATTTCTCCCAGGAAGCATTACATTTATAAAAGAACTACAATTTGTTTTGCAAAAAAGTGATTTTGAACTTTTTATCATATTGCCAATTAGGTCATTTACCTTTCGAAAATACCTTGTACCAATCTGTATATGGTTAAAAATAGTATGTTTGTTTTTAAATATATGGGGGAAAAATAGATGCAAAAAAAATGCAGAAAGTTTTGCACTTTCATATTATCATGGCTCTGAACCAAAAAGTTATTGAGCCTAACTTCAAAATGTTGCCCATACCCGTATCAACCGCTCTGTATAATAAGATAACGGTGCTGTTGCCCTTCTTTACAGCTCTGCGACTCTCCCAGTCACATTCCGTTGCCTGGAGGAGAACCTAGGTATTGACAAGAGGGTGACTCGATTTGTGCTGCCCATTGGAGCAACAGTTAACATGGACGGTACTGCACTCTACGAAGCAGTAGCAACTATCTTTATCGGTCAGCTCAATGGCTATACTTTGACCATTGGCAAAATCATCACAATTAGGTAAGGTCGACTCAATCAGCAGCTCAATGTAATGCATTAATAATGGTTTTAAATCTTTCAAGTTGTGTACAAGATTGAGGCAAGCTGTCAGACCCAAAGATGTCATTACTCATAGCTGATTGAAGTGATTGATTTATTTTGGAACAAAAAGAAAAGTCATCCATTTTGGCAAGCTCCAATGTAAACCAAGAGAAACTACTGTAAGTTTTATTTGGATGATGAATGATAGTATCGTCTTCAATTTGTTGGGTTGCTCATCCAAATGTGAAGATCGCCTTTGCCCAAGTTTAAGATGAATTTGTACACTGTAGCTGCCGATCATTCCTACATGTATTTTGGAGGAATCGTTCCTCTATTGTGACCTTCAGACTAGTGTTATGAACCTTATATTCCTCTTGAAAATTTCTCTTTTTAGTTTACAAAAGACACTGCCTTCCTAATTTGACCTTGAAAGATTCCTATATTTCCCCTCAGATGTGGAGGAGTTACTTTCTTAACGTGTGAATGACTTTCTTCTTTCCTTCTATCCATAGCTTAACAGCAACCCTAGCGAGTGTTGGAGCTGCCAGCGTACCCAGTGCAGGTCTCATCACTATGCTCCTGGTTCTTACAGCTGCAGGCTTTCCTGTCGAAGACGTCAGTTTGCTTTTTACCGTCGACTGGTTCTTGTAAGTTTGTAATATCTTCATTTGTTTTATAGTCGTATATTGATTTAATGTTTTTCTTTTTTGTATATGTAGTTAAGATTGCTATGTTGGTGAAGTTTTTCCCATTAAGGTTCTGCCCAAATGAATACACAAAAACCTGATCAAACTTTGTTTTGACGGAGTGAAAATAGTCACATTCCAAACCATCGAAACCATGTTATAATAGCAATGAGAAATGCTAACCCTCAATATGACCATTGATGACCTTGGCAGGCACCAGCCAATACTCTCCGCTGGAATACAAGCAAAGTTTGAAAGGCATTTCCAGTTCTTCCTAATCATGTCATATTTTGAAATTGAGCATAGTGAACTAAAATTTATCTTTGACTAATTATCTGAAAAAGAAATGTGTGCATGTGAGGTACATGAGCCATGTCCTAATAAGATTTGTACTTCCCACATACATGTGACCTCTTATTTGTTGAAATAGGAGTATTGAATTGATTTCTCCCATCTGTTATACCACCATTGTTTCAAAAGATAGATAATACACAGAATGAATATCCTATGAGGCTTGAGAAAACTATGGGAGATTTGTTAAAATTAATGTTATGTTGGCAAATTGTAACTAGAATCTCCATTCTATAAATACACATGTAGTATATTCAACAAACAAACAAAATATATATTGAAAAACGATACAGCACCTTGTACGTTTTATTTCAGCCAATGCCAAAAATTGCCTATATTATGCACAACCAGCTAGCACTGTATTGTTATTATTAATTAATTGATTAATTAACGGTCACCATATATTTTTGAAACTGAAGCCGAATTGGTATGATCGTATTCAATCTAAATCCACACATTTTAGGGTCTAGCTTCATAGCAATTTTAGGTTCTAAAAGGGCACTAAAAATGTCTCAAATAAGAATAATAGCAATAACCATGCACTTTGAAGGCATTTGCGATCTTAAACAAGAACTCATTCTATCCCTTTAACTATTGATTGAAGAAAAAAAAATTAATGGAAGCTTTCTCAACCAGTCTTTGTTTTTACATTTGACAGGGATCGTTGCCGTACATCTATCAACGTTGTGGGTGATTCTTACGGAGCTGCCATTGTGCATCATCTTTCTAAGAAGGAGTTAGAGGCAATCGATAGAGAGGTAACGTATATATTTCATTAAAGGGGAATCAACCTCTAACTTCATGTTAATTTCATTTTGTAGGCCATCTAAAACATTACCGGTATCTGAAAAATATAAAACATCATACGTTTGCCAAAAGGGAAGACATTACTCTTCTTCAGAAACCTTTGTCTTTCGCAACTCTGAGAATTTCAGAACGTCGCCATTGTGTTTGCGCAAGGCCCATGCATTCTGGGACATATCGCACGGATTTGACCACTATTGCGTGCATATTAACGTTTCCCTGCTATAAACTTTAAAATGATCACTGCAGATCACATCGTTTTCCCTGTCATGCTTGTACTTTTTGTCCAGAAATTTCTCCACCTTCAGAGCTGCTACTTATAGCTTGAATATTTCATTGGGATTATGTTGGTCTGGAAACCGATGAAACAATGTCCCCTTGGTTTTTGTTAGGAACAATTATTGCAACCAAACACTTGGCAGTTCGCCATGTTTGACGTGTATTGCATGTTACATGTGCAATACTTTGCTCGTCAAAACTTCTCTTTTTTACATAAATGCATTACAACAGGTTTATTCACGATTTGCAAAGAAAACAAATATTATAGATGTACGTTAGACCCTCAACCATTTCTCACCTTTGCAATGCATGCAGGAAGCCGAGATGGAGCTGGAAGGTGGCAAGGACACTGAATACACTGCTAACGGCAAGCCGGAGATGAGAGATGGTAACGCCGTAGCCGACATTGAGAAGAAAGATGGCGACAACTGGGAGTCTGGATTCTAGACTATGCCCCTTGTTACAAGCCATACCTACCCCTGTATACCAATACAGGCAGTTTTTGTGTACATTTGTATTTTTTCTGTTTTCTTTTTTTATATATATATTATATATATCTATAGATATATATGTATATATATATATATTTTGGCAAGTCTTTGAAGAATAAGATGGAATTTTGTTGTTGATGGCAACAAGATATCGTTAAAAGGCATGAGTTGAAATCACTTAGTTTGCAGAACCTTGGAGACTTCCAGGTGCAAGGAAGGGAGCAACAATGAAAGGAAATGTGAAAATAATGATCATGTGACCATTATTGCATTGTGGGTAAATGTGAAGGTACGGAGCTTTAGTGACAAGATTAAATGTATGAAAAGTAAAACCACTTTAAAAAGAGAGAGAGCAGGAAAGGGAAAGAAAGAAAGAGAGAGAAATGAGATAGAGAGAGAGAGGGGAGTAAAGAATGGCAGAATGAGAAAAGGAGTGAGGCAAAGAGAATGAGAGAGAGAGAGAGAGAGAGAGTGTGTGTGTGTTAGTGTGAGTGAGTGAGTGAGTGAGTGAGGAAGAAAGAAGGATATTCCAAAGATATTAATTTGACACATTAAACAAAACAAAATTCTTGAAAGCAGCACAAATTTTCAGAAGTGGAAAGTTTATTTTTCCAATTCAAACAAGCTAACAGAGTTTATGTGAAAGATTCATTCATACTTTACCACAAATTAAACTTTCCTTCAACCAGCTGGATTTCAAGCTAAGAAAACATGTGGTCTGAAATTTCTGGGGAAAAAAATGCATTTTATGCCAAAATCAATTCGTATTCAGTGGGCTGTTATAATAACTTGGCATGAGGCCTCAATAAGGGCATCTTCTGCAACACAATACAGGGGTAAAATGACTTTATTTGCTGGTTTAGAATAAAGAATTTCATCTGGAGTCATAACACAACATTATGCTTGAGATTATTTAATTGTTGGTCAAGTGATATATTTTAGTCCCAGCTTATTTTTCCTCATATTGTGGCAGAAATGAAAGTAGGATTGATAAGGTGTACAAGTGGAGATTGTTTCTTCATCAGTTGGAAGTCTACTTGTATTGTAAAATCAACTGGAAAGTTCCATTGCACAGAAAATCAGTATTGATGGAGAAACCAATGTACAGTATGTATTGTTAATTTTCTATATCAGTAATTACATTTAAAGAGTTTTTTCTGTATTGATTCGTCTTGAAATGTTAACCCAAATTTTTGTTATGTTTGAATTTTCTATGGAGGCATAGTCAAATCATTTGTATATTTTTATTCCTAGCATTAATGTATAGGCAACTTCTCAAAGACATACAAAGCTTGTATCAAAATTTGTTCACAGCAGCGAACTTGTCGTAGAAGTTATGATGCAAAAGAGAGTACCGGTACGTTTAATGCTGCAATCAAATTTTGTCATAATTGTGAGGTGCACAAATTCTAAAATGTCAAAATTATGATATAGCAGATGATTTTCGAAGTTGTATGTGATGGAAAGGTCAGTGACCCATACCATAAAACTATGGGTATCAGATAGATTTTACTAACACCCCTTTCATGGTCGATATACCAAACCAATTTCTGATATACATGTTGTCTGCATATTTTGGCTAATACCATAGTCAGTTGTGCAGGCAAACTAAACAAAGTACACCCAAATCTGGCTGCTTTCAGAAAAAAAGGCAAATCAGAATAATCCTTGCTGGCTAGTAAAGCTTGAAGGGACTAACATACTTCATCTTTGAGCTGTTAGATAGGATTTACTAACACCCTTTGTGGTTGATATACTAAGATTCTAATATGACTCAAGTTTATTGCAGTCCGATTTCATCAAATGTCCGACCAGTTTTGACCTGTTGTCAGTGGCTTTCATTACGATCATAGTATACTGTAGTTTGTGGACAAAGATACACACATATATAACAACTCAAATTGGGATCTCTTGTCCTAATGCCCAAGTGTTCTGATACAACTCATATGTAAAGGAAAACTTGGGTAATAATGCCTATCTGTTTTCTTTCATATCCATCTCTCTCTCTTGTTATCATTATCATTTACAAAGTGAGAGTAAATACATGTATTTTCCAAAGTCTTATTTCTATCTTTCTTCTATCACTGTATGTGTATATCATAGTGTGAAATAGTGATCATTTTTTACGTCTCGTGTTTCATGAGTCATTAGTACAGGGTCTTCTACGGACACCAGGGCAGTACAAATTTGTTTCCCTGTTTCATAAAAGAAGTATCTGAATGAATATTTTACGTATATGTTCTTACATCTTGTAACAAGAAGGAAAACAAATATATAATTAACAATGAAGCAGAGAAATGTTAATAATTTCTTAAACAATACCCGTACCTTCAATGTGTAATTTGTAAGATGTTTAAGTTACATAAATGTCTACCTCTAGAAAGAAAATGAAAAATACAACAGCAAAATTGCTCTTTAATTTTGTAATAGAGATAAGCCAATAATTTACCATATTCGTCATACTGAGTCATGCAAACAATTTGATAGTTCTTTTGTAACAGTATTTTGATGGTTAATTCATTCTAGCTAACACATCACCACTATTGAGGCAGGGTGCATTTCTACAGTTTCTATTCCTATTTACAAAACTTGATTGTTTTAAAACTGTTAAGAATAACCATTGTGAAGAAGGACAAAAATTTGGATTTTGAAATATATTCACAATTGCACCTATATTAACTTTAATATCACAGGTGATCAAATAATTGAATTCATTATCGTCAAGAAAATGATTCAATCAAAGTGTTCTCAGTGTGTGAAGTAGCATCAATACCATCAATTCAAAGAACGCAACTATGATTGCAAGATTGCTCTTAGCACAAGATATACTTTGTGTATCTTCAATTTGTAGCTCAAATAATGCACTAGCTACAGTCCACTGAATCAGTGTATTCTAGCTGTGCCTTAAGTATTCCAAAATCTGCAGCTTGGAGAATACAATCATGTTTAACAGCCAAATTGCATTCAAAGTATCATGTATGATTGTTCTCTCTCAGAATGCAATCATGTTTTACAATGGTTGTGCATAAAGTAAACTTGTTTAGCAGCTTTGAGAATGCAATCATGTCATCAATCTAATTGCTTCCATGGCATAATTCACATTCAATACACTGTAGGCCTATGTTGCTCCAGAGAATGCATTCATTTTCACACAGTGAGTGCATTCTAAACTTAATGCCATCAAAATTCATCAAATCAGCAGCTCAGAAAATGCAATCTTTGTTCTAGGTTGCACTCAAGTCACCAAGTAACTTTCATCCAGTTACCTCAGAAATGATACACATTTTCCTTTCTCATGATTCTTCCAAACACCCTCTTCATCTCCCCAAATTACTCATTAATTTATATTTACCGGTAGCTAATAATTAGTATGTAATTAGAAAAGTTCTAAAAAAGCTATTAAAAAAAGTATTTATCACTTTCTTTTAGAAGATAAAGCGATTATGTAATCTGTACAGACTGTAACCTCAATATGTATCCCTTCCATTATAACATAATGTATGTACAATGACATATTTGGTATACCAATTTGTATTTTTGCACTTGTAATTTTTTGTGATACATTAACAAGATATATCATGTACGACATGTCAGTCGAATATAAAGTGAATATGTGGAACAGTGAGTGATTTGATCATTGTTGTGATGGTGTTTAGATGTATTACGAATTTGTGGAGCAAATACAAGAAAAAGAGGTGATTTTGTTGTTGCTAGTCTACCCCAGTGGGCTGTATATACTGTCTCTCACTTGAGATAGGCAGCAATATGAAGTTAGTAAAACTGTGTAGCCGGCATGCTAGCCGTTCCAGTGGCTAATAAGCAACTTTCTTTTAAGCTACAAAGAATGATGACATTTCATTTTGCTCTCTCGGTTTTTTTTTATTTCTTTATGGCTGTATTTCTTACAGCATGCCAGTCAATTGATAACATTTTGAGGCTTTCTCGTTAAACAAACCTTTTTATGAACTATGGCAAACGAGAAAGTAAGAGATAAAGCTGTAAGAATACGATATGAAGATGTCATTTTAGTAGATGTAGCCCTTTATTATAAAGTTAATTAGTTGGGAGAGGTGCTGTGGTCCAGTGGATACGTCTCTGTATTGTGAACCACAAGGTATGGGCTTTGAATCCCTGTCACAGCACTAATATCCTTTGGCAAGACATTCATCTACACTTGCCACACTCCTCCCAGGTGAAGTAAATGGGTACCCGGCAGGAATCAATTCCTTAAAATGCTCGAGCGCTATAATGGCGGGAGCAATAATAACGGAGCACCAGGAGTGGCAATGTGCCAGACATGAGTGTTATACAAGACTCCACTATTATTATTCCGTTATTACAAGTTCTTTGGCCGTTTAACATTTTCAGTCGAAGGGTATTCTATATTTAATATTTGAAAATTGAAATATGATAAACCATACAGTGTAGTACTGATACTCATTCATGCGTGTCATGTACATGACTTGTACTTTTGATCACATTTACTGATATTAACCAACTAACAATTGGTTTTCCTTTTCTCTCTGGTGTAAATATCACCTAACAAAAAAAAAGATACCTGGTATAAAGATACATTGTTCTTATATGATCTGTCCTTCAGAAAGGAAATGTCAATGTGATTTTTGGGAAGTGTTCAGTTTAAAAACACAAATTGTGGAAATAAACGTCATTGAGAAATCCTGTTTTTATTTTCCTAAAGGAGCCCGGCAGAGTTTGGTTGTTTGTATAGTGAATCACCACTTCTATTGTTAATGTCTTTATATTGTCATGACAATGTAGTAGAAGAGACATGTTGTATATTGTATGTATAAATATATTTACTCTTTTAGGATACATATACACAAATATTTACTCATATTTTTGTAAATACAGTATAAGTATGTAACGTAAGTTTGAGCATTAAGACTTGTGATATTTTCTACCACTGGTTTGTTTTCATAGGAAATGATAGTAATGTGCTATTTTTTTCAAAATGAGGAGAAAAAAAATCCATCCATTATGAAGTAGAAAGTTGTATACAATGTATATGATCAGCTGTTATTGACCAAGATATAATAGATTTGAAGATGGTTTTGAGTAGCCTACTGACATAATTGAAAAAGAACCATTTTAGTGGAGGTGTTGTGGTGTAGTGGTTGATTCATGTGACTCTCAATCTATGGGTTGAAGGTTCAAATCCCAGAGCAGCACTTACGTCTGTTAACAAGGCGTTAATCTATATTCACCAATCTCCACCCAGATGTAATTGGTACCTGGCAATCGCTGGGTAATAATACTTGCATGGCCATCAGAAAGCATTGAAGCTTATGAGGCTTACCCGGGTAAACAAAATTATTATTATTGTTATTGTCATTATTAATATATATTTTGAATGGTTCATTATTTAGGAAATACAATCAGGTATCATGAGGCATTGAAATCTTTCAAAAGCATCAATGGTTCATGAAAATCACCAGTACCGGTAGTAATAACTTTTGGTTCAGACATTTAATTTATTTCTAGAATGATTTTCAATATAAGAGCATTTCAAGAGCAAGACTTTTTATGGAACATCTTTATTGTGGAAACATGGTCAATTGAAGAATAAAATGAAAAATCTCACAAATTATTCCTTAATTTTACAATCTTTTAAAGGTCAAGAAAATATCATTAAATTTTTGCAACGTTTCTATTCAGATGGTGATGTACATTTCATTGATATGCTTATTATTCTCATAAGAGCAGGTATTATAGAGTGCATCTTTATAGGCTGAAAACTTATTTTCAGAAAATGCAATTAAAACAATGGGGATTTTTGTATTCAAATACAAGCATTTTCTACTCAAATTTTGCGAAGACTGAAACTTAAAACGCACAGCTAAGAATTGTCATGAACAATACGATTGCATTCTAGTCAAATTTTGTTTTCATATTTTGTTTCTTTAATACAATGCGTCATCTTTTTATCATTTATTGTAAGTACTTATCATCCTCAGTTTTATCAAATTTTTAATATTTTATTTCCAGTATTTATATATTTTTGTAAAAGATTTCTCTTTTTCACTTTACAAATTATTTGCGCTCATATTCATTAGTCCTTTTCTCTTCAAATACAAATCTCAAATTGAAAACACATTACTAACATGGTTACATGTTTAATACCTATTTCAATGAAAAAAGGTTCACAAACAGAACCAAAAAAAGAGGTCTGGTCTTTTTGTTTTTATCCATGATTAAATAAAGGAACATTCAATTGTTTTTATCGAGTCACTACACAAGTCCCGTCCATTCAATTAAATGTACATGTATAGCACAGGATGCAAATTTATAAATAATTAATGTTGAATAATGTATTGGGTCAATAATGTAATTTACATGGTTTTAGAGAAAGCAGTCTGTTTGTACCTCCCTTCAGGAAACCATTGTTTAAAAATGTACACTGGTATTTTATTGTTTCCCGTATTAATAATACACATTGGATATTGATATAGACATACTGTGAATGTATGGTGGTGTTCTTGTGGTTCGGTTTGTTAATTTCTCACCCTCTTTCACACGCAAATAAAATGGGCATGTATCTTGTATTTTCATTATAGCAATAAAGATAAAATGAGTTCCTATACACAATATCCTGTGTGAAGACAACATAAGAGTATTATGTGTATTTCTTTGTTCTCTCCGTCTTTCTCTTCCCTCCTTCCCTTTCCTTTTCTTCCCTCTCTCCCTTTCCTTTTCTTCCCTCTCTCCCTTTCCTTTTCTTCCCTCTCTCTTCCCTCTCCCTCTCTTCTATCTCTCCTTTTCTTCCCTCTCTTCTTCTCTCTCTTTTTCTTCCCACTCTTCTTCCCTCTCTCCCTCCCTCCTTCCCTCCCTTCTTCCCTCTCTCTTCTTTATTTTTTTCTTCCCTCTTCTTGTTCTCTCTCTTCTTTTTCTCTTCATATGCATGGCGAGGATGTACTTGTAGAATGAAATGCCACGGGGGTATGAGATAGTGGGATGACTTTAGGAAAGCAGTATGGAGAGGCAGACCGATGCCAGAGTCACACAGCCAAACTGACTCCACAACAACTGCTAACCGACCGCCCGATTCTTTGCAGTTTGGGTTAACATAATTTACTGTTCAGTCTGATGGCGGTCTCATTGATGTGACTTGGGGAAGAGAGAGAGAGAGAGAAGGGGGAAGAGAGAGAGAGAGATAAGGGGAAGGAGGGGGAGAGAGAGGAAGAAGATAAGGATCATTCATGACGTGAGTAAGACAGCCTTGACATTGATAACGAGTTGCCCATCATCTGATGAATTTATTGTGCAAGTTGCTTAATAGGTAATCTCTAACCACTGTCCCTGGTATTAAAGATGAACCAAAAATTACAGCATTGCTTCCATTCCCATTACCTTCTTCTTCTAACTTGTACAGTTAACACTTCAGTGTTAACTGTACAAGTTAGAAGAAGAATGTCACTATACCCTGTATGAAATAAACTGTTTCCAAAAAGTACTGTAAGGTAACTAATAAAGGAACTAACAAAGAAATCAAACTAGAGTGCCCATGCACATAATGTAATGAATTGATAACTGATTAAGCAAAGTAATAAACAAATAAATCAATAAATACATAGAAAAATAGTTTATGTGGGTGAAAATTTGCAGAGGCATCTCATTGAAGAGTGTGAAAAATCCTAACAAACAACTGACTGGGTTATTGATTGAGGTAGTATATAGAATTACAGAAGTGTTCTTTCTGATGATTCAATCATCCAGCTACTGGCAAAAAGTAGCCTAAGAAGTCTTAATCCTAAACCTAACGCTATTTCTACTACATGATCACATCATCGCAAAAAAACAAATAGAAAAATACATGTTTCACAATTAGAATATCAAAAAAGCATCCTGTTTAACAGTCTGTGGCCTTACTTTGAAAACTATGTTTGCTTTTAAAGCTGTAGTGAAAAAAATTATTTATTTTCATAGAATGCTGTGAGTGCAGCTAGAAGACACTTATTATTGGTATTGATATCATAGTCCTCTCTCAACCCATAGCACTACAGTCTCCTACGTGATGTCTGTGCATTATCTACAGATCCAGAATGCTAGCAATTGCACTTTGTACAAGAGCAAGAAAGACCAAAAATCACAGACAATTTTGAATCTATTTCCAATGATGTATATTGTGCCATTATGAGAGTGATTTAAGTGTAATAATAAATCAAGTCTCTAAATTGCCAATGCAGTGTAAAATATAAAATCACTATTTTGTGTATAAATTGTCAATTTTGAAGGTTTCATTTTGCAATTTACTTTCATATTGGCTCATTGAAAAAAACAAAATTCCCTTCTCACTATGAAAGAGTGGAGACTAAGATTAATTGTTGCCAAATTGAGGAGGGAAAACTGATTAATTCAGAAAATAAGAAAACTCTAAACTGTGCGAGTATGCAACCAGCTTTGTGCAGAAATTTATCCTAATTTCAGTAGCTTAAGAAAATCATTTTACTTTTACGATCATGAAAGATAATAGTTTCGGGTATACGGCCATGAAATAGTAAAAAAGAAGGCACTTTGACAACAATACCTCAGTAGAATTGTCACTACAGTACAAAAGATATTCACACACTGAATAGTTTCTGAAGTACTGGTACATTACATAGATACACAAACAGCTCACTACCAACATAATTATACAGGTAGTTAAAGACATGATGAAATCTACAGCTATGTTGTTTTATGCAAAAATTGTATGGTAAGAAAATCAACCTCAGAGTACAAACTATTAGAATATTATAGAAAAATAGGTGAACGAAAATGTATCATCAAATGACATAATTTCAAATGAACATGGAAAAAGCTTCCAATGTGCAATTTTTCTTCTGTATTTTCCTTCTTTCATTTGTTGTTGTTTGTTTGTATGTTTCTTTTTTGTTCTACACTTGAATGATTTAGCAACAAATAAAGACCATATTCCCATAACATTCCAAGGCAAGGCAAAGGAGTTATTGAGGCAAACTATTAAGTATTTTCCCTGACATGTTAAGCCATAGTTCTTGTGACCACATTTGTGAAGTAAGAGAGATAAATCTAATATTAAATAGTTGGCCTATTTCAGCTGTCAATCAATCAATCTTAGAATTGACATTCTTAAAATTGTGTTCATTTTGAAGGTGCCATCATATGACCACAAAGGAACAAGTACTAGAAGCTCACAATATTCATGATTTTAACATATTTCTTGTTCATCTTCCATCCCTTTACAGATGGTATATCAAACAATACCAGCTTTAACCACATAACTATCACTAATTCATATTACTTGACAAAGGCTTATAGCCCTAAATTACTACATTCTATTTTCTCTACACTTGAATAATCCTTTTCTTACTCTATCAGTAAAGTACCTGTATGTATAACAGCTAAGAAGAACACAATGTGTAAGCCTACTTACTCGAACTACATCGTCTTGAAAGAAGCGAATAAAATATTAAATGTCAACAAAGTCACTCAAAATCTACTACATGTCTTAACCATACTTTTACAAATACTGTCAAAACAGAATGAAGGGAATTGCATGGGGAATAGGAACAAAAATAAGTAAAGTTCTGAAGACATTATGTTTTTCCCAAAGAAATAATGTAGACCATGGATCTGTATTTCTATACACAATGAATAAAATACATGGAAGGTTTGCATCATTCCTGGGAAATATCAAACCTGTCAAAGATCTGTTCAAACTTTTGTTCCGGTGCACCCAGGTAGTTGCTATTCATTCCATTATGGAGTATCTGTTTCTACCCAGCAAGGGAAGGTCCCAGGTCTAGTATCTTATGGGATCTCTATTTCGACGACATCAGTGATGTTGCCAATTTGTTTGGAGTCAAAGTCTATGACGAGAGTTCTCTTTCCCTTCTCTCGGGGTGAGAACTTGACCTTCTGTTTGAAGTTGCCCTTTGAAGGAACATCACTGAGAAGAAAATACAACAAAGAGAAATATGTTTAATAGTAATAATAATAATACCTAATACAGACATTTATAACGCGCAACATATCCACCCAGAGGGTGCTCAAGGCGCCTACAATGAGCTACATAATATATATAGATACAATTATACTTAAATTACATTATACATGGTAAAAAAAGATGATATTAGTTAAAGTTGGCCATTAGATAAGTTTTCAGACTGGCCTTGAAATGATCTACTGATTTACAGTCCTTAAGTGTGTTAGGGAGACTGTTCCACAATCGGGGAGCTGCTGAGGCAAATGCCCGATCTCCCCATGATCGTCTGGTCTTAGGGATGATCAGAGTTGATGTATTAATTGGCAGAACGCAGACCAGAACGACCAGGCTTGCGAAAGTTGAGTAGAGAAGAGATGTACATGTACTGTGGCGAGGAGAACTTCAAGGCATGGTATATGATCAGAAGGATTTTGTAGGTGAGCACATAGTAAACCTCAACCTCACACAAGCCAACGTTGCATGTGTTGAGTTGATGATATACATAACAAGTCTAAATTTTTCTGTTTAGAAGTGTGTCAATCCGCTGTATTACATGATTTTTTTTTTAAAGTCGAATAATCATCCAAGTCAATCAAATTAACAGAACGGTTCCAAAGAAAAAGCATTGAATTAATATCACAAATTCAAATGAGACCGCAATGTGTAATCGTAAGCTGTCAAAGCACGCACTACACACTGATTTTGTTTATACAATACAAGCCTATGCTATCCTCATTCTTCTCTCTCCCTCTCTCTCATTATCATACCCATGCATCCCAGGTCCCTGTGATGTGCACTGTATACACACCACCAAGCGAGCTCAGATATTGAAAACGGGAAAAAATGAGCAAGGTACATGTAGTACATATGTGAAAGTCAGATTTCTTTGACTTGCGGGGAAGGACCACATGCTCATGTCAAGAACATTCAGGGCAGTGCTAGACTAGAGGTCTTGAATTGTGAGATGTCCAGACCGAATTAGCAAATAAACATTGCTGTCATCCCAGCAGTTCAAAATGCTGGCAAGTCGGTGTATGATATTGAGTGGCTCAATATTTGGACTTGTGAAAGACATGACATGGTGCACAGAATGTTATAAGAATAAAAACTGAAGGAAATGCTTGGGGTCAGTGTGGGAGGGGGTTCTCTCTTCATCGTCAGAAATATATTGACATTTCTTTAGTTTGTTTGGCGAATGTACTTACTTGGCGTAGAGTGTCATAGAGCGAAGGAGACGAGCACCCTCGAAGGTGATTGTACAGTTAGTGAGCGTGATAGGCAAGGGATTCACAAACTCAACCACAGCTTCGACCTCGTGACCTACGACCTTGAACTCAGTCTTCATCTCCGGTGGGGTGAGGTACACAGTGTCCTGACTCACGGTTTGTTGGGAGGTTTCCTGAAAGTAAACAAACATAATATAACATATACATACACATAACCAATCAAACAAGTACAAAAGGAGTCATGGATTTCAAATATTTCTAAGGTAGCTTGGCAGAATATGGTGGCATGAAAACACAGGTCTCGTACACAAATGAATAATTGTTGAAAATAATAATGTTATGGCATTGTAATAGACCCATATTTTTAGAACACGGGTCTTACTAGTTAATATCTCTTTCACCTTGATTAGACTTCATAGTTACCCAAAAATGTAATTTTGATATGTCAAATGACAACTTTTTATTTATTGTTGGGCCTCTATGCATACCAGACGTGTCTTTTTATGCTACCTTAATGTTGTTCATCCTTGTGAAAAATGGTTTAGTGGTAAAGTCCTCAGATTGTGGATCAAGGTATTCAGGATTTGAATCCCTGCAACATGACTATTTCCTTTGGTAAGCCACACTCTAGGTGGGGTAAGCTTGCTTCCTGTCATCGGGTCATCGTGTCCTGTTGAGGGGGGGGGGGGGGAGTCATGTTACACGTCCTTTCGCAAAACGAAAGTAGAAGGTCATGTGAAGAAGCACATTACGAATGCAACCTTTTGTAGTTTTGCCGTAGTGTTTCTACAAAGCATTACGAAAACTCGTAGTTTAAAATTGAAACCCCCATTGATGAGAGAGAGAGAGAGAGAGAGATAAGCATGGTAGAGGGGGAAATGGAGGGAGAAGGGAGAAAGAGACACATGTATGCGCTAGCTAGTTTAACAAGTTCACTGCCAGAGTTCAAATTGTTGTTATATCGCCAATTATGGGTCATTTTGCTTCGTTCAAACTTTAATAATAATACATTATATTTATATAGCGCTTATTACAATGTTTCTAAGCGCTTTACAAAGTTGTACTTAGATAATAATACATTCAATAACTATAATTAATATATACTAATCAACCTACAATTAATTCGAAATACATACATAAGCACAGATACATCTAGTCAATAGATATAGATACAATAGAATACAAATTAATTTTAGGGCGAAACATCACAAATTCATATTAAGGCAATTACATTACGTCTACCGTGCAAAACACATTCAAGCTACAGACTAACAGGGAGGATTAACAGGGAGAATTAAAAAGGAATGTCTTAAGGGAGGATTTAAAAGAATCTAACGAAGGAGATTCCCGAATCTCTAGAGGAAGTCTGTTCCAGAGCCTCGGGGCAGCTACGCTGAAGGCACGGTCTCCATATCGTGTTCGAGTTCTTGGACCCGGGGCCAGTTGCAGATGAGCATAGGTGGATGAGCGAAGTCTTATAGAGGTTGTCTGGGTCTTTGGTAAGATTAGTTCTGTGATGTAAATTGGAGCAAGTTCATGTTGGGCTTTGTAAGTTAGGATCAGGATTTTGAAGGTAATGCGTTGAGAGACGTGAAGCCAGTGAAGAGAGCGGAGGACAGGGGTAATGTTATCGTATTTTCTGGAACGGGTTATTAAACGAGCTGCAGCATTCTGAATTCGTTGAAGAGGTAGAACATGAGAGTCTGGTAAGCCGTAAAATAAACTGTTGCAGTAGTCAAGGTGTGATGACACGAATGCGTGGACTAATCGTTCAGTTGCGCTGGCCGTCAGGTACTTTCTTATTTTACCTACCTTGGAGATTCCAAAAGCTGCTGCTCGAGACTTCGAACGCATGTGGTCAGCCATGGTGAGATTCTTATCAAGAATAACACCGAGATCACGAGAGGCCTCAACACATGCGATAGACGTTCCATCGCCAATCTGCAGAACAGGGAGAATCCGAGCACCTCTGAACCTGGAGAAGACATGGATGACCTCAGTCTTAGAGTCATTAAGTTGAAGATTGTTCTGTAGCGACCATTCCTTAACATCTGCTATACACTGCTGTAGCTTTTGAAGTCCGACGTCATGTTCCTCGGGTCTGATGACGGCATACAACTGAGTGTCATCTGCGTACATGGTATGTAGGATTCCTTGATGGGCATTGATGACTTGCGATAGAGGGCCAGTGTACAGTACAAACGCCAAAGGACCAATGACCGATCCCTGAGGAATACCCTGGGAGAGATGAAAAGACTTGGAAACAGCATCGTTAACTACAATCTTCTGTCTCCGATTTTTTAGATAGGAGACCAGCCACTGTCGAGCTACATCCCTGATGCCGTAGTCACGTTCAAGGATTTCAATCAAATTCACATGGTCAATGGTATCGAAAGCAGCACTGTAGTCCAGTAGAACCAGTATTGCTTCATAACCCCTGTCGACAGCCAGTAACAGATCGTTCATCACTTTCAACAGTGCTGTTTCAGTAAAGTAGGACGAGCGATAGGCCGACTGCATCTTGGGAAACAAGCAATTCTTCTCTAGATATGCTTTCAACTGGAAGCTAGCAACTCTTTCAAGAACTTTCGCAAGGAACATCAGGTTAGAAACAGGTCTATAGTTCCTGAGGTCATTGTGATCCAAACTACGCTTCTTCAGCAAGGGCACAACACGGGCTACCTTGAAGCTGTCAGGAACACTCCCAGAAGACAACGAGCCATTTATGATGGAAGTGATAACTGGCAACAGTTCATCCATACAACACTTGACCAGCCATGTTGGAAGAGGATCCAGCTTGCAATGTTTAGAAGCCATGGCATTGATCACTTTTCTAACTTGAATTTCAGACACTGGTTCGAAAGAAGAAAATTCACTAACCCACGAAGGAATTTCCCCTATGTGACGAGAGGACAAGTTGAACCCTGACATGATTTGTTGGATTTTCTTCTGAAAGAACTCGCCAAAGTCATTTGCCAGGGTCTCATCTGAGTCACGATCCGGAAGCACAGGAACCAGATCTGGGCAAGACAACTTTTGGACGAACTTGAAAAGTTGTTTCGTGTCACACTCTTCCACCTCCGCCACCATGAACTGGGATTTGGACTCCACAAGCTTGTCATTGTAGGACTTGCAGAGTTGTTGATATATCTGCTTGTGAATCTCTAGGCCTGATTTCGTCATCGTCCGCTCTGCACGGCGTTTAACTCGCTTAGCCTGTCTAATAGATTCGGTGTACCACGGAGCCCGTGGCCTTAGGGAAATGACAGATGATCAAGTTGGCGCGTGCTTATCCAAGAGTTCCTGGAGCACACTATTGTACCGTAGAACTGCTTCAGAGGAACATGATGGAAGCGAAAGTGAGGATGTAAGAGAAGATGCCAAAATATCTGACTTGAATAAGTCCATATTGATATCACGAAGCTTCCTACAGGTAACACGCTTCTTGGTAGCAGGACGTTCCAGGTTTAGTGTGCACCATAACCAGTCATGATCGGATGGAAGACCCCTGATAGAATCAATCTCAGGAACGACTTCGTCGACCCTTCTAGTTATCAAAAGGTCGAGCGTATGTCCAGCTTGATGTGATGAAGTCATCACGTGCTGCTGAAAACCTGCCTCTTCTAGGATATTGAGGAAGGTGGTAGCATCTTTGTTCCTGCAGTCGTCTACATGGATGTTAAAGTCACCAACAAGCATTGGGATGTTATCAACAACTGCGACAGATTCCATCAAAGAGGAAAATTCCTTCAAGAACAAAGAAAAACTTAGTTTGTTCTTCGATGATGGAGGTGGTCTATAGATAGCATAAATGTGAAACACTGATGCACCGTTAGACTGAATAGTAAAGTCCATCATCTCGAATGATTCATAGTTTATACTAAAGTCTGGAAGACTCACTTTGACCGCGGAACGATGGATAATGCAGATGCCTCCGCCAGAACTGGTCGTACGAGGTTTGTGCACTATCTCATAATTACGTAGCGTTGCCGTAATGTCGGCAAGGGTATGGTTGTCGCGATGGTCGCCCCTAAGCCAGGACTCGGTGACGATGAGTACGTCAAGGTCGTTGCCAATGATAAGGTCACAAATGATGGTGGTCTTATTGTTCATAGATCTGGAATTCCAATGACCTATTCGAACTCTTCTCTCAGGAGGACATTCAGTGACAGAAGGAGGAGTTCCAGTGAGTTGTATGAGTCCACCAGTATCCCGCATCGATATTCCACTAGAAACACTAGTATATCTAGTCTGAATGAGTACAGGAATGTTGAACTTACGCCTCATTACCCTCCTCGGTAGCCACGCTTAGTTCTCCGAGCGATTCCAAACTCTTTGAAAAAATTCCATTCATGTGCACTAAGAAGCTTAGCCTGAATTTCATTGTCAAAGCTTCGCCCTAGACACAAGAGCTCCTCACGGGAGTAAGTGCAGCGAACCATGTTAAGAGACAGCGTAGACGGATGGACTACCACATCAAGTGCTATGCATAGGCACGTACAAACAGCAAACAATATGTTCACAATTTGATGTGAAAATATCCAAAGGTGAAAATGCATGATTGCAAACACGAATGATCTCAAAAAGTACGTCAGAATTGTCACTCAACATCAAGAACAAATGTCACTAAGATCAACTAGTCAAATATACTCACAAAGTATGCAAAATTAACAAATTTCAGATGAAAATCTGAAGAGAGCAAAAAAAAAAAGAACTTTCATTTTGGTCTTCATCTAACTTATCAGTGACTTTTGGACATGAAAATATCTTAAAACAAGTAAAATACTTATTTCCTACTTCTCATTTCCTTTCAGGCAGAGCCCCAGTAAGAGTTTGTTTACACTAGTATTACGTAAGATGATGAAGAGTCCAGCTGCAATCCAATATCTTAATCTCTCATTCAAAGCCTCAAGGCTCTGTCCAAGTTTTTAACGAGAGACACGAAAATGGGGTAGTGGCACCCCATCAAAATTACATTGACTTCTGTGTTAACGTAGAAGCTCTCTCAAAGTCTGAACAAGAGAAACGAAAATGGGGTCCTGGCACCGCATCAGATTACATAGACTCCTGTGTTAAAGTGTGGGGTATAGTTTTAATGAGAGCTTTTCGTAATGGTGTCAGGTAAATTCGACAAGACCCCCCGACCCCCGACATTTTGTGAATAAAGGGGCATGTTTTCACGAAAGGTCAGGTACAGCGACCACCCAACCCGATGACCAGATGACTTGAAATGTCATTGCAGTCTCTTAATAACATAGTACTTGTTCAAATTTTACTTTTTCTTTGAGTGCACATCTACTCTTCGAAATACCAAGACTAACTTATGATAATCATCCAGTAATACCAGAAATATTTCTTGAGTCATTTTAAAATCGAATCTGTATGGTCGCTGACATAGGGCTCCCTATAATACAGGGCTGCGTCTCAGGAAACCGTCATGAGTACAAGTTGAGCGACATCCTATTGAAATGCGTGTATTGAGTTTAACACGTATTTCAATGGAATGTTGCTCAATTTGTAGTATTTTTAGTGACGGTTTCGTGAGACCCAGCCCAGGTTGCTATATTCCTATAAAATTCTTTTTTTCTTACCTTGACTTTGCCGTAGACGTAGAACTTGATGCAGGCCTGATCGACCAGACAGCTTGAGTAGATCTCAGCCCTAATCATCTCAATAACATGTTCAGACTTGCCAGCGGGGACTGTTAATTCCTTACGTAGGCTTGTGATCTTCTTAGCCAACACACCTTCACAGAAAATAAAGAAAAAATGTATAAGATATGTAAAGGTCAGTCAAATTTTTGTGTACATTTCTTGACTGGATTCTTTTCAATTTTATTCATATGAATTTCAATTTCAATTTCGATTTTATTGTCCAATTGACATATACTTGGCTCACATATATGTACCTTCACACACAAAAGAGTAGAAATGCAAACAAATCAGTGAATTTTGTGCATTTTGGCAAAATTTGATGTTTGTTTAAATTCTTAAACAGACCCACATGGGTCTAGGAAATACAGATGAATGGTACAAAGATATTTTCCAACAACAAAAATATCTTGGAAAAGAAAGACTGTTTGGCATACACAATAACTTGAAGGCAAGATATTAAAAATAACTTATGTAAATCTAATACTTTGAAAAAAAAACTAATTCTATCCAACTTTAAAATCATGATTTTACAATATTTAGAAAGGTTCTTTACTGATTATCAGAATTTATATTGCATAAGTGAAGAAATTCTATGTTAGGTATCTTCACTATGAACATGACCAACAAAAAAAGCGGACAAAATATACAGTTCCTCAGGTAGACAACGGAACATCCCTTCACTGCTATTGTGTACAGGTGTCAGAACAGGTGTCACATGCATATTCACCTGTTCTACACATTTTTACATAATAGCAGTGAAGGGATGTTCCTTTGTCTACCTGAGGAACTGTATATTTTGTCCGCTTTCTTTGTCTGTCATATTCATAGTGCTTGTAGTAATATTTCTTTTTGCAGCATTTCTTTTTGCAGAAAAATTATCATTCTGTGCTATATAATCAAAACCAATTTCTTTAAATTTTGTGTGATTCAATATTAAAACAAATCATGATGTATAACCATGAAGCAACTTTACTGTGTCATAGCAATGTACCAACAACTATATTATCTTCTATATCTGTAGCTCCTCTCCTGCGCTTAACAATTATGTCAGGTAGACGGAAAGTGGTCGTCCTGCCATTTTCCTTGTTCTCTTTTATATTTATTTATTTGTCATGAGTATAATAAGGTTTATGTGTTTGTTTGCTTATAAGTCTAGGCCTAAACGCAATTTACAATATATCTTATTTTCACTTTTACCACATTTGAAGATATCTCAATACCGAAGGTCACGACTGATACCTAAATACAACTGTTTCATATTGATATGGATGATTTCATAGATATAACAATTTGATCCCTTGAGTGTGACAGGATTGGGAAACGATTTCAAGAGAAGATGTGTTTGTAATTGGATCAGGCATCTCAACTTCAATCTAATACTTTTACAAGAAACCCACTCGACAATAAAGTCAGAGCGGAGATGGAAACATGAATGGGGATACAAAATTATTTTTAATCACGGAACATCAGAAAGTGCTGGAGTATGCATTCTTTTCAAACCATCTGCTTCTTTTGATATTGTGAATACTTTTAAGGAGGACAAGGGGCAAATTTTATTAGTAATTTAAAAATTAAATAATATGGTGTTAACAGTGGGAAATATATATGGTCCAAACAATGACGATAGAATTTTCTTTGATGATTTTCACTCTTTGTTATTCAAACATGGTGAGGGTTCCTATGTGACAGCTGGAGATTTTAATACAGTTTTGGAGCCAAGAAATTATAAATTTCCTAAAACATTTCAAAACCATCCAAGATGTAGTAAATATGGAAATAATAGATGATTTTGACCTGCTTGATATGTGGCGTCATACCGCACCTATCGGAAATGAAATAGACATGTTTGTATGTTGCAGTGCCAATGAACTGATTAGATTTTAGGGCCATAAGGTCAAAGATCAAAGGGTCATACATGTACGAAAAATAGCTTGTAATCGCGATATTCTGAGAGCCTGTTAATGGATTACAATCAAACTTGAAATCAAAAAATTGCTTCTGTTTTGGTTTTATAAAATTGTTCTATGGCGGAGGCATCCTTTTCAATTGCGGGCAGTCGAAGGTCCACTCATAGTTATGTTATCGTTTTCGTTATCTCAAAATTATTTTATTGAGTTTGTCTTTTTGTACTAATGTATATATGTTATTATGTGCATCTATATATAGTCAAACCTGCTTTAGTGACCACCTTTCCACAAAGACCACATTTTTTGTTTCCCTTGAAAAAGGTTTCTCATTGTACTAAAGGAAACCTGTACATTAAGACCACCTGCCTATAAAGAACCCTGCATGTACTGACCTGTGTAGTAGCACATATGAGCATTCATAGTCAGGGAGATGACACGAGACACAGAGCTCTTGTTATTGACTGCTACCTTGAGCTCAAAATCACTGCCGACAGAGATCTTCTCATCCAAGACAATCGCCATCTCAATGTCGTCTGTCTTCACATTCTCCCGATAGGTGTTGGGTCTGGTGCCATAAGAAATGGCACGTTCAACCGCGTTGCGCTCCTCAACAGATCCTAGTATGAATAAATAGATTCATAGGTACACGTTATGAATGGATGCTAATGTCAGTTTGTTAGTACGCCCTCAATTGGAGTATGCCTCTGAGGCTTGGAACCCACACAGCGTCACGGTCACAAAAATGCTAGAGCAAGTACAAAGAGCGGCTCGCTTTGTGTACCGTGATTACAGATACACCACATCACCATCAGCTCTTGTGGCAGCTCTAGGGTGGGACACACTTCATACACGACGAATCCTCGACCAATGCACCCTTCTCTACAAGATCCATCACCGTCTTGTCTCCATACCTGCACCAACTATTGTTATCCCTGCTACATACTTCGGAAGACACGACCACAACCTGAAGTATGCAATTCCTGTTGCAACTATTGACTCCTTCAAGTTCTCATACTACCCAAGAGCAATAAGGATCTGGAATCATCTGCCAGGCTCAGCAGTTAATGCAACAGGAATGACCAACTTCAAGGAGGCAGCTCTACCCTCCATCAGAATGATGCAGCCCCCTGTTGGTTTCCACATCATTTAAGCTTATTAGCTTGGTTTTTACTTGCACTGGACTTAGCATATTTTACTGTAAATTAATGAGTGCTTTGTCCACACACCATTTCTGCAATTCATGACACTCCTTGCAGTTACTCGCCTCACCTACCATCCCAGTATAGCTTCCTGAGTGAGCTGCCAAAGGGATTACCCAACCAAGTACCAAGTTAAGTACTACTAAGTAGGAAAGTCAACCTGATATAAATTGGCTGTACTTGCTATAAAAGACAATATAGTAAAATACCTCGCCATATCTGTTATGTTCCATTTACACCTCCAGTTTAGCATTAATCTGTGGTTAAGATGTTGTGGTCTAGTGGATACCTTACTGGACTGTGGCTCACATGGTTCACAGTTCAAGTCATGCCATAGCCATATCCTTTGGCAAGACATTAGTCTACATTTGCCACTATCCACCCAGGTGAACAAAATGGTTACCTGATAGGAAGAAATTATTTGAATGCTTAAGCGCCTTATCATGGTAGCTCAGCTACAGCTGGGGAAATAATAATTTGTAGTATGTGCAGTAGTGTATATTTGCATATTAGCTGCGCTATATTAAAGATAAAGACCAGTTATGGTCATGCGATTGCATTGTGAAAGAAACGTTGTGGAATCGATCAGAAAAGGTTGATCATCTAGCATATAAGTATTGATGTGTACTGCAAGGTTCTGGAATCATCAAAATGATAGGAAATTTGGCCCAGTCTTGGTAAATTTACAAGTACTGTACACAGAAAGATATATATGGGATTACGCGACACATGCGCGACCAAGTGCGATATCTATCAGGTCCAAATAGATATAATAATTTACCAAAGATATCAATTAGTAGCCTCTTTGCAAATTTTGTATCGTCACGTATTAGTCAAACATATTCTTTCACATGATTGGTAATCAGAGCTCCCATTTCATTTTTTGAGAGGGGGAGGGGGGGGGGGGGGGTGTTTCCAAAACTGGTCTTTACCTTTAATGGACGTATTATTATCCCTTTCCCTATTCCTCCTCCTCCTCCTCCTCCTCCTCTTCTTTTTCTTGTTAACATTATTATTATATATTCATTATTATCATTATTATTATTATCATCATTGATTTATCTATTTATTTTGTTCCTTATTACCTTCTGCATATTTGTACTCCAGAGTGATGTCATTCCTGGCATTCCATCGGCTGATGTATCCTCCTGGAACGAGCGGAAGTTTCTTCGTACTGATGTATTTACCGACGGCATTAGTGTTGATGCTCACTGTTTTCATGTCCGGTGGGCCACGATCTTTCTTAGTTGCAACCCAGTTGATACGATCAGCATTGACCTCCGCGAAGGCGAACCTGTCAAAAGACAGTAGATATGTATGTTTGTGATCAAGAGTGAGCTTTACTTACCTATCTATTTCAGACTTCTCATTTTATTGCCGATTAGAGTAGCTGAAAAAGTTTGATGAACCTTCCTTGCCCTGGAGATGGCTGGGAAACCCCTCACTCAATCTCTACCCTCTATTTCAGCATGCAGGCTGTATCCAAAGAGTATCCAGTATGGCAGTCCTTAATTGACTACATGTAATGTCCAGGCTTGTGCCTCTTCTTACTTTTTGAGTGGCTCAGTTTTGGAGGTGTTAAATGGAGCACATTTCTCCATGTAAGGCATTACTGTCTGTGTAGAGCCAGAAGGGTATTAACTCTATCTAAAAGCTCCAAACAGACAATTTTAAACCATGATATTTTTTATCAAATTATGCAAATTAAATTGAATCTTTGAAATTAATAATAAAAACCTAAACTAAAAATACCATATCTAGTGACTATTTAAGGATTTTTTAGTGCTGGGTATTAAACACATACTGACATTTTAAGACCAAAACTATAGATAATATAAAGAGAGAGACTTACTTGGTGTCGTAGTTGATGTAGGTCAGGCCTTGCTTGATAGCTGTGACAGGAGCAGGGCCGCACTGGAAAACACCTGGATGGATGGAGTGAGAAGGGTCCAAGCACTTAATGTGTGCATGTATCTTGTGGAAAAGTCACTTTACAAATTATATTATAATTCATCTTTATCATTATTAACCTATAGACCATTGGGTTCTTTAATTCTCATAGGGTTTATGTAGGGACCCCCAGGTTTCAGTACGCAATGGGCTTATGGCTGGTCACACCACATCGAGACTGATAACGAGAACAAACAGCTATATGCATACACAATAGCATTAACAAGAACTTTAAAGTGGTCACACTTCAACAATTAATGTAAAATGTACCAATCACCAAAATATATTTTGTTTTTTATGTTAACAGTTCCATGTCGTAATATATATTCAAAATCATGAGCTCCAAATATTACCTCTGTAGAGATATTTTGTAACCTATACACTCCCGAGTATTAAAGATAAAAGTGACCTGTGAGTTGACTACCGTACTCAATTTACCTGTACGTGTTTGCTCAAACTAGGGTCTGACTTTTGTTCTGTGTGCGCCATTTTAAGTTATTTTTCAACTCCTAATCTGATAGCAAGTAGAAGGCCGAGTGCAGTTTTCTGCTGTTTATTTTATATATTAAAGCTGTACATAAATCATTTTTGTTAAGGTTCTATCAATCAAGTACAAAGGTCACTGCCCATACGATTTCTTCCAAACTGACATAACATCAAAGGAGTAAAATAACAATAATATCTATATTGAGCTCACAGAAAATATTGCTGAAGATTTCTCCTTAGAAAATCATTGGCTGAGCAATTACATGTCAATAAAATCGTTGAGGGAGGACCATTTGTAGCATTGTTGAGTGGTAGATTGGATTACATGCTATGCCGGCTTTGAATGTTTTTAAACAGAAGTGCGGCATCGCATAAATGCTGTAAATCACCATCACCATAATCAATTATTCACAACTACAAGTAGGGAATAATCGTACATAGAATTGTACAGAATCTAAATAGAACGAGGTAATGGACTTGAAGGGGGTTGGGGCAGGGCCCTACATCCACTCAGGGGGACACTATGGATTGAAAGAAAAGCCTTACCTTTGTTGATTCTTGTAAAGTTAAGCCAATGAAATGCCTTACACTTAAATATAATCATCAATCAACAACTTAATAACACCTCCAAAAGATTGTACAGGATTCAAATAGGACAGGTTGCTTAACATATCAGGGACTAGGTGGCAGGGTCCTACATCCACTCAGCGGGGAAATCATCAGTTGAAATAACAATTCTTACCTTCGCTACTTTCCTGTGGAGTAGCATCAACGACCTGCCAGCCACCCATCCCAGGGATGGTGTCAGAACGGCTATAATAAACCTCATTCCAAACATGAAAGTTCCACACAGAATCGTTGCTCAAATACTCGATCTGTATACAAGGACAGAGACAAGGGCGGAGATAAATGTCAGTGGCAAAGCAAAAAGTAGACAAAACTATATCAATGCCATCATTAAATATTGACAAAATTAATTCAGCCATGCTCACCTTTAATCACTTCACTTATATCTTATATAACATTGAATACAACACACCAATTTATAATACAAATGACAAATGGATTTTTAATCGCGTCCCTTGCATGTGTTGTTCTTTTATTTTGCTAACTCGGCCGAGGCCACGGTCATCAAAAGCATTTACGCTTATGACATGTGGTCTCCTTCTTTTTCCTTTGTAAGAAACTTGTATTTTAAGTAAACACATATTTTGTCAAACTTACATGTTATTCATTATATTTATTTGTATGATGTTTCTTTGTATTGATATGAAAAAGAGGAAAACAAACATATCTGTGTCAGTATCAGTTATAATGATGAAGACAAACACAATTTAACCATTTCAATGTTAATTACAGTGACAAGGAAAACTACATACACTTTTTCAATTGCAATGACAAAAAAAAGGAAGCACATCTACTTAATGTCAATTATAGAATTAATAACATGGGTTAGACCATTGGTGACAATGTTCTAGTTCTATTTGACGTAAATTTGTTTGGTTAACAGATTACAATAACATGGGACTTTCCCTATTTACTCTCCTTCTCTATTTTTATCCTCACATATTTTGAGCCAGGACCATAACAACTGCGTCTTCCACAAAAATTGATTTAGTTTTAAAAATGTAGATAGATTTGCTTTTGTTCGAAATAAGCATAGGACATTGTTCAAAATTCTAGAAGCAATTACATAAAAAAGTATTTTTGGTAGCGGAGAGATTAAATTACAAGTCTAATAGTGTCCTTTGCAGAATTCAGATTATGTGTGGGTAAGTATTAAAGCCCCACTGTACTACTTGTAGCTAAGCTTGCTCCCTCTACATAGAAAACTTCCCCAATCGGTGCCTGCTGGTCCCCCATGATCATCTTTTTCTCATGTTGAGAGCCGAGTTGACGAGATAGCCACCTGTCAGTCACCTCGCTGGGTGGTCTAATCTCTTCTGGCCGAACTAGTACACATGGTCTTTAAATATGAAAAGGTTGGGGTACATACCTCTTCATTTGTCTCTGAATCGATGACAGTATCAATGGTCATGCTGACATCTGTGTCATGAGCAGAGGCAAAGTTAGTAACGCTTCGACAGGGAATGCCAAGACAGCGCATGGCAGTGCACAGGACACCACTGAATACCCAGCATTGACCGTACTTGACAGGTTTGCCACCGGACTCAGCAAACGTCTCGTAGATCTTTGTACTGCCTGTCCACTTGGATGGGCTTTCACCTGTAAGGTTTAAAGATTAGTTATCAACTTTGATTTTCAATTTTTGTCTTATTTTCTTGACATCAAGAAAAGGAAAGGGATCTTCTTTGAACGAAGTTTGTTAGGGCGCATTTCTGGTGAATCATTTCTATGGTTATGATTGCTTTATACATGATTGATTGATTTTTTTATTCGACAAGCTTCCAACATACAACAATATACAATAATAACAGATCAGAAATAAGTCAGCTTGAACAGGATAACCCACGAAAGCTCGAGAGCTTATTTCCAGTGGGGTCCCTTACAGTTAAAATAGTAATATTTACAGACAGATAAGAAAATTAAAAGAACTATTTATTAAAGATAATAATAATAATAACAACATTAAACTGATGATAGAAATGATATTAAGTACAAGAAGAAAAAGAAGAAGGAGAAGAAGAAAAAGAGGAGAAGGAAGAAGAGGAAAATAATGATGAATTTGTAGAATTTCTATAACGTACGAAAACATAAGTATATACAACATGAAAAAGTATGAACCGACAGAAGAATAAAAATTTCAATCATATAACATGTCATTTACTTCTCTTCTCTGACTGTCAAGTATTAGGTATTCCTTTAATTTCCTCTTAAAATGATCATAGTTTCCTATTTCTTTTACACCATTGGGAAGGGAATTCCAATGTTTTATGGCATTGTAATAAAACGAATTTCCAATACTACCTACTCTTTCAGGTAAGTTAAAGTTGAATCGTCTATTTCTTGTATTATAATCATGTACGTCAGTAACAAGATCGAAGTTGGATCAAATATAATGATTCAACCTAGTATGATATATTTTATGCACATGATGCAATACGAGTTGTTTTGATCTTTGGTCGACTTCAAGAAAACCAGCTTTAGAAAGTTCGCTGTAGCCAACATGAGTTCTTGGACCAGAACAGTTGATAAATCTCATCATTTTGTTCTGTATAATCTTCAACTTCTTTTGATCTGACTTGTTTATGTTACTATACCATGCAGGGTTAACATAGTCAAATAAACATGCAAAACAGAGTGTACGTCTTGCTTTTAAATCCATACAACTTTGATATCTGTACAAAAATTTCAGACGAGAATTTGCTTTTTTTACAACTGATTCTACTAAAGATGAAAATGAAATTGCGCTAGCCAACTCAATGCCTAAATACTTCACAGACTCTTTTCTCTTGATTGCTTGATTATTGTGTGTCACTTTGAATTCAAATGACTTTTTAGAACTACTTTTAGAACAAAATAAAATGCTTTCTGTTTTTTCCCAAGTGTAAAGAAAGCTTATTATCAGTCATCCAATCGACACACGTAGACAGCTGTTCACTGAGCTTTTCCTCAATATATTTAGGATCAGGATTTGAATAGAGTAGTACGCTGTCATCTGCGTACAATAATAGTTACATGTACATGTAGTACATGTAACATTTGTATACTGAGAAGGATTCCTTTGTTATTGAATTAAAATTAGATGGTACGTCCCTAATTTGAGTAATTCTTTATCTATTAAACAGATATTTTGAAGTTACAAGCATTTTAATCAACCCTCTGATTTGCGCATAAGTGTGCATTAATTATCTTTAGCAGAATGGCACAACAGTCTTACACCCTTCAGCCAGCTACACAACATGCTAAGGACAACATAGAGGCTGTTCACACCGCAAGGAGATAGCGCGGTCTATCGTAGCACCCCCTTTTTTCTAGCTCGCGCTAGACCGCGCTATCTCTCGTGGACCACCCCCAAGAGGTGCTCCAGTGGCACGCCATTTTGACTCGCCGTAGCTCGCTGTTGGGCGGACTGAAACGACGTTGTACCTTCCAAACCGCAGAGATAACGCGGTCTAGCGCGCTATCTCTGATGGTGTGAACAGCCTTCTAGAGTCTCAAGCTCAATCATATTGTCATCCCAATGGCCCAAAGCTATGTGACATAAACTCTAGATGGACAGATTTGTTGAAAAAGTGCCAGGCAAGAAGGGCATGAACCTCCTTACGGCTGAATCTCTCATTCCCACTGCCTTTAATCACTCACTTTGCCTGAAAATGGGAAAATTATGTCTAATTCTTTTCTGCTTATGTACAATCAAAGTGTAATTCCTAGAATTCTGAATCACGAGTAAATTCAAAGACGTCTCAAGAAGGATACTGCTCTATAATTGCCTTTAATAACACAGTGATCACTCAGTTTGCCTAAAAAATGGGTAAAACTCCTTTTCTGCTCATGTAATTCCTAACTTTGTGGATCACAAAAAAATCCAAAGACATCTATCCAAAGAGTCTCCAAGGAAACTCTGAACTGCTCTCTAAGGTGAAATGTGATTGACAGCATACCTCCTTCATAGTCTCCGCTCCAGTTCCCAACCAGTAATCCCACCTTGGTCTCTGGTACACCATACTCAGGCATGTAGTTGATGAGATGAGTGAACTTTCTTGAAACCACTACCGGGTCACTTCTTGCGTTCACACGAACCCATCTGAAATATGAAAATACAAGTGAAACCTGTATATAAAGACCACTCATGGTAAACAAGAAAAGTGACCTTTATCTTAGGCAATTGGTCCATCACTACATTATAGACGATGTATTTCACGTCCTCCTCAGGCATTAAGGTTTCTCAAAAGTATACCACCAAATCTACCCAACCTTCTTCTCTAGGAGGTCCAGCACCATATTGGTGGCGGTATATTACGGGCACTCCACAGGAACACAGGTTTTCCCACAATTTTACAAAACCGTGATAAAAACAACCATAAAGTCTACCATACTTACTTTTCCAGGAGGTCAAACACCACCTCGGTGGCAGAATCTTCAAATTGGCCAAAGACCCAGGGGCGAGGGTATTGAGAACCAGGCCTGGCAGATCCAATGAAGACATATCCATTATCGTTGAGCACGTACTCGCCCTTTTCAATATCTCCAGCCATATGGACGCTGTCTTCGCGGCACCAGGCATTGAAAAGCACGTAGATAGGATCATCCTGTCTGAAGTACCTTGGTTCTGCCATTTAAAAAAACAATTACATCAGGGAATAATTTTCCTCAAATTTTTTGATTAGCAATTTCAGCCGATGGATAAATATTTCAAATGAAATTCTGTACATTTCTATGGAAGAAAACTGCTACACAAAAGATATTTTGTATAGCAGTCATGCAAAAATGCATAGCAAATTGCGATGCGATACCAGGAAAATTATTCCCTGTACATGTACAATTTTTCTTTACATAAAAACCAATAGACCATGGGCTGAGTAGTGAATATCTCCCTATTTCTTCATTTTCGCGACCCACCTCTGGTAACTACCCAATTTTTTGTCTGAGTGGAGATAAAAACTCATAGAATAAGAATTCATAACTCGGCAAAGCCGAAAGATGCACACTAATTAGTATTTGAAAACCACAAAGAAACGTATGGGGACAATGTAAATGACAACTGCAAATTTGTGATCAATATATGTTTGGTATAAAAGCAATAATAATAATAAAGATGATAATAATAATGATAATAAACATCAATATCAATAATAATAAGAACGATAATAAATAATAATATTAATAATAATAATCATCATCATCATCAAGCTTCATTATATCAGCATCATTATCATCAGCATCATTATCATCATTATCATCAGCATCATTATCATCATCATCATAGCCATCATCATCATCATCATCATTATCAGCATCAATATCTTTATCATCATCATTATCATCATCATTATCAGCATCATCATCATTATCATCATCATTATCATCATCATTATCAGCATCATTATCATTATCATCATTATCAGCATCATTATCAGCATCATCATCATCATCATCAGCATCATTATCAGCATCATCATCATCATTATCATTATCATCATTATCTGCATCATTATCATCAATATTATCAGCATCATTACCAGTATCATTATCAATATCATCAACATTATCATCATTATCATCATCATCAGCATCATTATCAGCATCATTATCAGCATCATTATCAGCATCATTATCAGCATCATTATCATCATCATTATCATCATCATTATCAGCATCATTATCAGCATCATTATCATCATCATTATCATCATTATCAGCATCATTATCATCAATATTATCAGCATCATTATCAGCATCATTATCAGCATCATTATCAGCATCATTATCATCATCATGATCATTATCAGCATCATTACCAGCATCATCATTATCATCATCATGATCATCATCATCATCATGATCAGCATCATCATCATTATCAGCATCATTATCAGCATCATTATCAGCATCATTATCATCATCATTATCAGCATCATTATCAGCATCATTATCAGCATCATTATCAGCATCATTATCATCACTATCATTATCATTATCATCATCATAATCAGCATCATTATCAGCATCATTATCATCATCATTATGAGCATCATTATGAGCATCATTATGAGCATCATTATCATCATCATTATCAGCATCATTATGAGCATCATTATCAGCATCAGCATTAATTATCATCATCATCATCATTATCTTCAATGTTATCATCATCATTATCATCATCATTATCATCATCATCATCATTATCAGCATCATCATCATTATCAGCATCATTATCAGCATCATTATCATCATCATTATCAGCATCATTATGAGCATCATTATCAGCATCATTATCATCACTATCATTATCATTATCATCATCATAATCAGCATCATTATCAGCATCATTATCAGCATCATTATCATCATCATTATGAGCATCATTATGAGCATCATTATGAGCATCATTATCATCAATGTTATCATCATCATTATCATCATCATTATCATCATTATCAGCATCATTATCAGCATCATCATCATCATTATCAGCATCATTATCAGCATCATTATCTTCATCATTATCAGCATCATTATCAGCATCATTATCATCATCATTATCATCATCATTATCATCATCATTATCAGCATCATTATCAGCATCATTATCAGCATCATCATCATCATTATCAGCATCATTATCAGCATCATTATCATCATCATTATCAGCATCATTATCAGCATCATTATCATCATCATTATCATCATCATTATCATCATCATTATCAGCATCATTATCATCATCATTATCATCATCATCAACATCATTATCAGCATCATCATCATCATTATCAGCATCATTATCAGCATCATTATTAGCATCATTATCAGCATCATTATCAGCATCATTATCAGCATCATTATCATCATTATCATTATCATTATCATTATCATCATCATAATCAGCATCATTATCAGCATCATTATCAGCATCATTATCATCATCATTATGAGCATCATTATGAGCATCATTATGAGCATCATTATCAGCATCATTATCAGCATCATTATCAGCATCAGCATCATTATCATCATCATCATCATTATCAGCATCATTATCATCAATGTTATCAGCATCATTATCAGCATCATTATCATCATCATCATCATCATCATTATCATTATCATCATCATTATCATCATCATCATTATCAGCATCATCATCATTATCATCATCATCAACCTTCATTATCATCATCATTATCAGCATCATTATCATCATCATTATCATTATCATCATCATTATCATCATCATTATCATTATCATCATCATTATCATCATCATAATCAGCATCATTATCATTATCATCATCATTATCATCATCATTATCATTATCATTATCATCATCATTATCAGCATCATTATCAGCATCATTATCATCATCATTATCATCATTATCAGCATCATATCATCATTATCATTATCATTATCATTATCATCATCATTATCAGCATCATTATCATCATCAACTAGTTAAATCAGAACTGATTTCAATATTTACTATATAAATCTATGTATCTACCTAATATTGCTTAGTCCTCCAGACAAAGCAGTCATCAAAATAAAAGAGTCAGTTATGCATACCCCACCCCAAGACCCCGCTCTACCACCTGTCATGTGCGCACCACGCCTGCATGCAACTTCCTCTCTTAAAGCAGTCCCAGATACAACCAGGGACATGTTGCCAACAAGGAGAGGGGACGGAGGGAGGGACATAGGTAGATACATAGATTTATATAGTAAATAATAAAATCTGTTCTGATTTAACTTACTTACCACAATATATCATATGTATCTACATGTACCTATTATTGCTTAGAGCAACAAAGATGAAAGCAGGGGGCATGTCCCAAACAACAAGTTAGCGGGTCCCAAACAAAAGGTCAGCGGGGGACCAGACAAAAAGATGCAACCCCCAAAGACGCCGTAGCAAAAACACTCCTCACTCGTAGGAATGTCCTTAAGATAACACGAAACGAAGGTGTTAGGCAAAAGCCAGAAAGCAGCCTTCATAATGACATGAAGCGCTACCCAATGGCAAAAGCCCAGGAGGTACCAAGACCCCTAGTATCATGAGCATGAACCGCCTCCACAATCCATCCAGAGATAGAACCTTCGAGGCAGATGTGACGGGCTCCCGCGTGATAAGAAACAGCTGAACGCTATCAAGGAAAAAACAAAAACCCCAGAGGGAAAAGGAAAAAATCGAAGCACCTACCGACTCCTCTCACAGAGGAGTAGCAAGGGTGATGGACGGTGGGAGTCTAGCCACCAACAACGGGCAAAAACCCTGAAAAAGACTAACCACAGCACAGAGCTTCACAAAAGCCGAGCTTAGCAAGACGGATCCCGAAACAGACCGAGAACCGGAAACACCAGAAAGTGTAACTGAGTCCAGTCAAGATACCCCAGGGGAAAGGGGCAAAGCCCCCACCAGCCCCCTGGGCGGCAGATGGACTTCTAAGCTGAAACCACAATCGAAGACTTGCAACCCGAAAGCAAACGCCTCCTACCCTACGCTGAAACGTCGGGTGACGAAGCCTGCCCACACACTAAGGTTTAGCTACAGACCCAGCACGATCATCACTACCACTCTACACCGCACCTTAGGCTGCAACGCCTGGCGGTAGAAGCCACCCCATGACCGGGGGCTCTCTGTCACGGAGGCACTCTTCTAAAACATGACAACCCCCTCCCCTACCCACAGGTGAAATCTCATATCAGCTGGTGGTAAAAGGGTCTTCTCAAACATGACAACCTCCCCTGCCTTCCCCCCCCCCCCCTACACAGAGGTGTAATCATGTATCAGCTGGTGGTAAAAGGGTGTTGTGAACCCACATCACACAGCTCTCTCCACATTTTTCAAACATGACAACCTACTCCTGCCCCCCCCCCCTACACACAGATGTAATCATATTTCAGCTGGTGGTAAAAGGGTGTTGTGAACCCACATCACACAGCTCTCTGCACTCTTCTCAAATATGACAACCTCCCCCTCCCCCCCCCCCCAACACAGAGGTGTAATCATATTTCAGCTGGTGGTAAAAGGGTGTTGTGAACCCACATCACACAGCTCTCTGCACTTTTCTCAAACATGACAACCTCCTCCTGCCCCCCCCCCCTACACACAGATGTAATCATATTTCAGCTGGTGGTATAAGGGTGTTGTGAACCCAATCACACAGCTCTTTCCACTCTTCTCAAACGTGACAACCTCCCCCTGCCCCCGCCCCCCCCTACACACAGGTGTAATCATATTTCAGCTTGTGGTAAAAGGGTGTTGTGAACCCACATCACAATGCTCTCTGCACTCTTTTCAAACATGACAACTTCCCCTGCCTCCCCCCCCCCCCCTTCACAGAGGTGTAATCATATATCAGCTGGTGGTAAAAGGGTGTTGTGAACCCAAATCACACAGCTCTCTCCACTCTTCTCAAACATGACAACCATCCTCCACCCCCTCCTACACACAGATGTAATCATATTTCAGCTGGTGGTAAAAGGGTGTTGTGAACCCACATCACACAGCTCTCTCCACTCTTCTTAAACATGACAACCCCCCCCCCCCCCTACACACAGGTGTAATCCTATTTTAGCTGGTGGTAAAAGGGTGTTGTGAACCC